AAAAGGAACAAATTCTGAAAGTATTTTTAATATTGCTAAAATCATCGAAAATTCGTATGATCACTTGGCGTGGAATTGCTCATTAGGAAAAAGCAAATTTAGAGAGTTTAATATTCAATAATTATCTAAAATTTTAACTGAAACTCATATTTAAATCAATTTTTATTAGAAAATTCTACAAGAATTTAATTATTTAAATACGAAAATAAATAATTTATTAAATAATTGAATGTTTCTCAAAAATGAATTCTCATTAAGAAATTTTATCAAAAAATTTTTAAATAATTGAATTCTTTTGACGAATTTTAATAAATTTTTTAAAAACGTTTTCATTTTTCGAGAAATTTGATTGAAATTGAATTAAAAATAATTGAATCTCTGTAAAAAATTTGATTATTTATCAAAATAATGGAATTACTGCGAAGAAATTTATAAAAAATTGGTAAATAATTGAATTCTTATAAAATTTTCGTTATTTATGAACATTATTAAATTTTTTTTTAAATTGAATTCTTTTGGGAAATTTTATTAAAATATTAGATATTAAAAATCATTGAATTGAGAAAAGTTTTTGAAAATAATAAAAATTTTGCGAATAACAAAATTTATCGGATTCACTTAAAGTTCGTTTTTAATGAGAAATTTTATAAATTAAAAATAGAGCATTTAATTTGTCGGACTTTCTTTTAATTTATCAGATTCAGTGATTTTTGGGATGAATGTGGTAAAGTTTTAAAATGATTAATTATTCAGGGTGGTTACAAGATTCAGTTTATTAATTTCCCTGACAATTTACTGACATTAAAATTATTTTCCCTGACAAAATTCTTTTCACAGGAAAATATGAAAGTTTATGGTAAATGAGTAAAATTTATGAAATTTAATAATTTCTAAAAATTACAATTATAACCCTTCCTGAATTCAAATTATTTTCTATAATTTCCAACTAAACTTCATCTCTAAATCAATTATTTTAAATAATTTTCCGAAAGTTCTTTGAGAATTAAATTATTTAAATACGAAAATTCAATTTTTTATAATAATTGTAACTGTTTATGTATTTTTCTTAAGTTTATTAAGGAATAATATTTTCAAAAAATAAAAATAATCAAATTTTTGAAGAATTTGAATTATAAATGTGACCATGATTTCTCCGAAATTTTAATAAGTCCAAAAAAGTAAATTTTTATTTGCTTTATTCGAAGATCTTAAAAAATTGTAATAAAAAAATTTCTAAGAATTAAGTACAGTACCGTCCGAAATTGTCAGTCCACCCATTTTCAAAGGAATGACAAAAATTTTTTAACATAAAATTCATGAAAAGTAAAATTTTTTTTGGTTTATATTTTGAAAGACGATAAAATTTTGAAAAGAATAAGACTTTACAGAAGTCATTTGGCCAAAATTTGTAGAAGATATTCTTAAAAATCGTCATTTTCAATGTTTTACAAAAATTTGAATAACTTCTAAAATAATGAATGCTTTTTAATAATCTTAGGCTTATTTTAAAGACCATTTTCTACAGAATAAGAATTACTTATAGGCATTAACCTGTAATTTTTAACTTGGAATAAGCATGACGTCAAAGTTGGACAAAAAAATTCAAAAAATTTGAAATAATATTATTAAAAGAAAAATAATTTTTGAAATTCAAACATATATTTTTTTTTAAATTTCTTGAAAAATCTACACCATATCATGTTTTATATATGTTCTAGAATAGTTTTTAGTACAAAAAATTGATTTCAAATTTTTCCAATTTTTTTGTCTAATTTTGACGTCATGCTTATTCCAAGTTAAAAATGACAGGTTAATGCCTATAAGTAATTCTTATTCCGTAGAAAAAGACCTTTAAAATAAGCCTAAGATTATTAAAAAGCGATCATTATTTTAGAAGTTATTTAAATTTTTGTAAAACATTGAAAATGACGATTTTTAGGAATATCTTCTACAAATTTTGTCCAAATGACTTCTGTAAGGTCTTATTCTTTTCAAAATTTTATCGTCTTTCAAAATATAAACCAAAAAAAATTTTAGTTTTCATGAATTTTATGTTAAAAAATTTTTGTCATTCCTTTAAAAATGGGTGGACTGACAATTGCGGACGGTACTGACGGTACTGCGGACGGTAGTTTTCAAAAATATTATTTTAATCTAATTTTTCAAATGCAATTGAATTTCTTAAAAGAGTTTCTGTAATATATTTAAAAAAAACTAATTAATTTCTTGATGAATTTTAATTAAATATTTTGAACATGATTTTTTTCTTCAAAATGTTAAAAATAATTCTAAAAGTTATTATTTTTTCTATGTATTTGAATTCGGAAATATGTAGTTGAAAGTAAGTGAAACTACTAAATTTAAAACAATTATAGAAGCTAATTTTCATTAATTTTTATTTTTAAATTTAAGTTCAAAGATTTTTCATTAAAATTTTTGATAATTCAATTATTTTGAAAATTTACAATTAAAATTCTTCAAAATTTCAGGGCTCGGATTGACTTTAAGACTCAAAAAAAGTCGCATAAATTCACAACAAAAGTCACGAAAAGTCGCATAAAATTTCCAAAAAAGTAGAAAAAAAGTTGCATAAAATTCTAGAAAAAACGACAAAAAGGAAACACGAGATTGTCAAAAAAATCACATTTCTCAACAACACATACTTTAATATCAAACAATCCGGAATAATTTTATAAATAATAAAATTCTTCTCCTAAATTCAATTATTTAAAAAAAATTTTAATAAAAATATTGTCAAAATTTCAATTATCTTTATAAATAATAAAATTCTTCTCTGAAATTCAATTATATTCAACATTTTTTTTAAATTACTTGTTAAAATTTTATAAATAATAAAATTCATCATGGAAATTTAATTACATATTTTCAAAAGTTCTGATAAAATTCTTTACAAAATTCAATTATCTTTAAAAGTAAGAAAATTCTTGTCAGAAATTCAATTATTTTCAAAATTATTTTTTTAAATTCTCCTTAAAATTTCAATTATCTTTATAAATATCAAAATTCTTCTGCAAAATTCAATTACTTTTAAAAATTTTTAAAAAAAATCTGTTCAAAATTTTAATCTTTATGAATAATAAAATTCTTCTCTGAAATTTAATTATTTGTAAAAATAATAATAAAATTCTTGTCTAAATTTCAATTATTTTTATAAATAAAACAATTCATCCTAGTAATTCTATTATTTTCAAATTTTTTTTTTAATTTCTCGTCAAAATTTTATTTATCTTCATAAATAATAAAATTCATCCTGGAAATTTAAAAAGTTCTGATAAAATTATTTGCAAAATTCAATTATCTTCAAAAGTAAGAAAATTCTTCGCAGAAATTCAATTATTTTCAAAAATTTTTTTTAAATTCTCCTCAAAATTTCAATTGTTTGTAAATATCAAAATTCTTCGGCAAAATTCAATTATGAAGAAATCGATCACTCTGAGTCTTCGACTCGGAGCAATCCATGTCTTCATGTTTTATAACAATTTTTTAGAAGTTGTTTAATTTCAAAAAGGTTTGAATTTGAATCTTTTGAAGAATTTTATTTCCTATGGAAAAATAATAATTAAATTAAAATAATAATTAAAGAAAAAAGAAGTTATTGATGTTTTCGAAAAATTTGAAAGAAATTTGTAAATAAATGTAACAGAACATTCTTTTGCACTAAAACTTTTTCCTTTAATTTTCTAAAAATTTTGAAAGTTTCAATTTCTAATTGACAAATAGAATTTATAAACATTTTTTTCCATTAATTTCTAAAAAACTTTTAAATTTTATTTAAATTATTATTAATTTTTTTAATTATTATTTTTAATTATTATTAACTTTTTATTTTTAAAATTAAAGCAATTGTAATTAAGAAATAGAAATGATGCAAATTATTTCCTTATGTAAATTGAGAATTTCCTACAAAAATATTAAGAAACGGGATAATATGTTATGTTTTTTTTTCCCAATGAGAAGAATGATTTTGTGAACAATATTGTGTGTATTGTGTTTACAAAAAAAGATTTCTGCTATTTATAATTTAAGTCGAAAAGTAATTGAAAAATTTGAAAAAAGTCGATTAATCGTTACTAAAAAAAATCTCGAAAAAGTCGATTAGTCGCATTTTTCACAAAAAAGTCAAAAAAAGTCCTTAGAAAAGTCGAAAAAAGTCGAAAATGTCGCACAATCCGAGCTCTGAAAGTTGATTTTCAAAAATTCTAACAAAATACTTTAAAAAAATTAATTATTTTCAATTAAATTTTACAAAATTTCAATTATTCAAAATCTTTTTATAATTGTATATTTCAAAAATTTAAATAGAAAAATGATTAAAAAATTATTTTTGAAAGATTTGTTTACAGTTATTTTTTGCACTATAAAAATCGAAATGAGTTACATTTAATACTAAAAAATATGATATTTTGTTGCAATATTTGAAAGAAAAATCGAGAAATTCGCAAATTTTTAAAAATAAGTGGAAAAAATCTCAATTTTCTAAATTTCCCTGACTTTACTGACATGTGCTGATTATTGCTTTTGGATTCGCTATTTTGAATTTAGAAAATCAAATTTTAAATTTATAATTAGTATCGAAATTTATTAAAGTTTTATTTTAGAAACTTTAAAGTTAAAAGTTTTTTAAAGTTTAAAGTTTTGTCAAAATAATTATTTATCTAAAAATTACTTAAACTAAAGTGGCTTCAAATTGTTTAGAATAATTTGTCCAGTTAAAGAATAATTATAATCGAAAAAATATTTCCCTTATAAATCATTGATCACAAGCGTTGTAGACTTAAAATATATACATATAAAAATTGTTATGAATTTAAGGTTATGATTAATTACTTATACGACAAAATAATTTAGTTCTCCTAATTAATCCATTATTCTATAAATCGTGTCATAATTTCTCTGACGGGCGAATTATTCACATTGTTAACACATGTACTTTCAAATTACTGTCAAATAATGTATATTGCACATAAATAAAAGGATACTTCTAACCTCCGGAGGAGGATAAATAATGCCAACTATGGGCTGTGAAGCTGGTGCTGGCTCTTCCAATTCAGTTTGCGGAGGCTGCGGTACCGCAACTTCTTGTGCAGGCATTTTTTTAGTTTGCTTTATAATTAATAATGCATTTAAGACATCGACATAATTTATAAAAATCGAAAATCACAAACTATCACCGTACGTATACATCGACGACAACAGTAACCGCCATTTTATACAGGGTTATGCAACTCAATTCGAACAGGGATGGGTTGCATACATAGGCAAATTTTAAATTTCGTTCAATTTACAATTAGTTTCAACAGAAATTATCAAATTAAGGCCGCAGTCCCATGGCAGCGTTTTGCGTTGCGTTGTAATGAGAGAGAATGCAGCAAACGTATATTTGCGTCTTTTTCTCTCCCATTACGACGCAACGCAAAACGCTGTCATGGGACCCAACCCTAAATTGCAAATTGTCAATTGTGAATTTGACTTAATAAGTATTACGCGTTGCGTTTTCTCTTGAGGTGTGTAGTCTCCATAATATTGTTTTCCTTGCATTGCGCATACGTCTCGTGCGAACAGTCAAAATGGCAGGAATTTTTCTGATAGTGGATTAGTTATTGGTTATTTTTAATTTTTCAGTAAAAAATTAAAGCTACATGTACCTTTAATTTGAGGGTTTACTAATCTTTGTATTTTGTTATTAAAGTTTTTGAAAATGCCGAACATGTCTAAGGGCAGGAAGTCACAAACAAAGTTTAAAGTAAGCACATTATTTAATTACGCAGATGTTGACAAAACAATATATATTTTCCCTTTATTTTGCAAACCTAATAATGTTTCTTTAGAGTTTTAGAGGGAACGATGAGTTTTTATCTCGCATTTCAAAAACCCTTTACTATTCTAAACGGCCTGTTACGGATTGTCTTAGCTTACCAGTCACAGGTGAGTAATACACAAATAGGTATTATAACCTTATATAAAGATTAAAAATAGCACATAAAATATATCTAAAATTAAATGTTAATGTAATATCAAAAAACCACAAAAGTCAACCGTTTCAGAATTTCAATTTTTTAAAATGTTAATTACTGTAGATCACTTTGCCGAAAAATGTTCGATAAGTCAAAAGATGCTTCTCAAAGAGCGCTATAGAAAATTAAAGAATAAAAAGCGTATTATTTCTTTCTTTCAAAGTATTTTTATTTAAATTTATTCTTAAAAATACAACAGAATATTTATTTTTAACTGACAAGGTCAAAAATTGTGAAATTTAAAGGTGGCCAGGTTCGCTGTATAAAGATAAACGGTACAGTGATTATCAGTTTAAGGGTAAAAATAAAGAAATCGGCAATATGTGCCTAACTTTTTTAATTAAAAATATAAAATCTTTAAAGTGTTGAAAAAAATTTTCTTTTTTCTTCGTTATGTTCTAAAATATATCAAAAATCATAAAGCGCAAGATCTAGGAACACTTCTCTGCTTAATAAAATTTTTTCTAGAAATCACATAATATTTAATCCAATTTTCATATGAAGAAATTATACCAATTATACCGAAGAATTCAATTAAAATTGTTTTAATTGATTTCCTGCAAAGAATTTTAATATTTATAAAAAAAATTGAATTCTTGCGAAGAATTTTATTATTTATAAAAATAATTAAATTCTTACGAAAGATTTATTAAGATTTTAAAAAATAATTGAATTTATTTGAAATGTATTACAAATTGTTTTTAAAAATTGAATTCTACCGAGGAATTTATTTGAAATTGTTTTGAAAATAATTTAATTTGTGCAACGATTTTACTATTTATAAAAATAATTTAATTGTTAAATTAAATTTAATAATTTAAGGATTTATTAAAATTTTAGAAAATAATTGAATTCTTTTGAAAATTTTTATAACAAATTAAGAAAAAAATTTAATTCTTTCGCGAAATGTTTTTTAAAACAATTCATTTCCTGAAAATAATTTTACTATTTATTTATAAAAATAATTGAATTGTTTAGAAGGTTTTTTTAAAATTTTAGAAAATAATTTAATTCATTTGTGAAATTTTATTTAAAATTTTGTTAAAAATAATTGAATTTTTGCCAAAACTTGTACTATTTATAAAAATAATTGAATTGAATTGAACTAGCGCGCGTAACATTTGCTAGTGTATTATAATTTATAGTTAATTTCGTTTTCTATAAAATTTTTATAATTAAATAATAAAATTATGCAGCGTCTTAAACGCATTAATATGAATATCTGAAAATATTATTATTTGATATCTAATGAAATATATTTTAGAAACTTTCTTTCTATCTTTCATAACGACTGGCTGACAAAAATAATAAACTCATGAATTTTTGTTATTACTCGAAAACTTGAATTTAGTTTCTATTGCACATTTACACAAATAATGTACACATACTAATTTTATGCGTTAAATACGATTTAAAAATATTCGCTTTAAAAACAAAACTTGAGGAAACGATGACACAAAGCAGATGAAACCGGATCCATATCAAATCATGAACGCAGTCCAATGATATATTGGGAATTATTTTCACAATAAGATATGTTATTCTACTCGAAAAATAAAGAAATACGTATTTTTTTAATTTTTGATACGATTTTCTTTGCACTTTTTACGAATATTTTAAGATTTTAGCAAAAAAATAACTTTTTTACATTTTCTTCTATAAAATTGCGTAACTTGCGTAATTTTCAACCGTTTTTATTGCTCTTGGGTTCATTTTTTTTCCTTTTCTTATACTCTTTTATTAAAAATTACGCAATATAAAAAATAATGAAAAACAAGGATAAAAATTCAACTTTTCAAAAAATAAAAATTTTCTCAAAAAGGCAATCTTTTTTTTCTCCAAACTTTCAGGATTTGTAAAGTATTTAACATAAAAATATCATTTGGTATTTTTTTGTTTATTAAGAGAAAAAAATTGTTTTCAATTTTTTACTGAAAATTCTAAAATTTTGCAACTTTTCAGGTTTCTATACTTGTAGCTACGCTTATTTTTTAATTTTTAACATCATTTTGAAAAATCTTGTGAAAAGTAAAGAATATAGATAATTAACAATAATATCTAACATTAAAAAAACAAAAAACGTTTTCAAATTTTTATTTCATATAATTTTATTCGCTAGAATATAATTGTAGCAGAATATTTAAAATTTAATCCTTAGGACGTGAGCTTGAGAGAATTTCCATTAAATCGATTATTATCAAAGTTGTAGAATTTTTATTCGTAAGAATAGAAATGGGTCACAAATTGAATATGATTGAATTTTAATTGTTGCGAAAAGTTGTTTGGCAGAATTTAAATTACACTGAATATAAATATAAAAAAATATTAATTTAGTAGAAAGAAAACTAGAAAGAATTTTAATTTAGTTGAATATTTATTCGTTTGAATTGTAATTTTACAGAAGCGTAATTAAATAGAATCTGAGTATTGTCGAAAAACTTTTTAATAGAAATCTACTTCATCAGAATGTGCATGTGTTCGAATATTAATTAATTTGATAGAAATTGAACTTGATCGAAAATTAAATTTTTATCCTTATTTTTCATTATATTTTATTTTGGATAATTTTTCATAAAAGAGTATAAAAAAAGTGAAAAAATGATCCCAAGAGCAACAAGAAATATTAATTTAATTTTAATTTAATTTCAATTATCTTTATAAATAAATAGCAAAATTCTTCGACAAAATTCAATTATTTTCAAAAATTTTATTAAAGTTCATTACAAAAATTTCAATTATTTTCATAATTAACAATATTTATCACACAAATTCAATTATTTTCTAAAGTAATAAAATTCAATTATTTTAAAAAATTTTAATAAAATCCATTGCAAAATTTGAATTATTTTCAAAAGTAGGTAATAATATTCTTCGCAAAAATTAAATATTCTTCAATATCTACTTTTTTCATCAAATTTACCAAAAGAATTTAATTATTTAAAAAAAAAAATTTAATAAAATTCTACAAAAACTTTTAATTATTTTCAAAAAATAATAAAAATTTCACAAGAATTTCATTAATAACAATTTTTTTTTATAAATTTCTTCACAATTATTCAACTATTTTCATAATTAATAAAATTTTTACAGGGATTCAATTATTTTCGTAAATAATAAAATTCTTTTTAGGAATTCAATTATTTGCAATAGAATTTTAATCGAATTCCTCGAAAAAATTCTTAAAAATTTTATTAAAATTCGCCCAATGAATTTAATTATTTAAAAATTTGTTGATAAAATTTTTAATAGGAATTCAATTCCAAGCAACATTCAATTATTCAATAAATTATTTATTTTTGTATTTAAATAATTGAATTCAAGGAATTTTCTCATAAACATTGATTTAAAAGTAGATTTCAGTTAAAATATCTTAGATAAAAATAATTGAATTCTTTCGAAGAATTACATTAAAATTTTTAAAATAATTGAATTTTATTAAGACATTTTTTTAAAAAATTGTCTTAAAAATAATTGAATTTCTACCAAAAAAAAGTTTATCAAAACTTTTTAAAATGTTTGAATTTCTGCTAAAATTCCGATATTTTTGAAAATAATTGAATTCTTGCGAAGAATTTTATTAAGACTTTTGAAAAATAATTGAATCTCTGCAAAGATTTTTATTATTTTACGAAAATATTTAAATTCTTGCGAAAGTTTTTATTAAAATTTCTGAAAGTAATTGAAGGTCTGCTAAGAATTTTGTTATTTTTAATTTATGCCAAGAATTTTAATAAAATTTTTAAAAAATAATTGAATTCCTGTTAATTTTTTACAAGAATTTAATTATTTTTGAAAATTTTAATAAAATTTTTCGCAAGAATTCAATTATTTTCATAAATAATAAAATTCAATGCAGAATTTCAATTATTTTTAATACAATTTTAATCGAATTTTGTCGAAAAATGTAATTATTCTTAAAAATTTAATTAAAATTCGTTGATAGAATTTAATTATTTGAGAATTTGTTGATTACGATTTTTTATGGGAATTGAATTTTAAGAAACGTTCAATTATTAAGTATATTATTTATTTGCATTTTTACATTTAAATTTGTATTTAAATAATTGAATTCTAGTAGAATTTTCTAATAAAAATTGATTTTCATTTCATAAAAATGAATTTCTGTCAAAATTTTAGATAATAATTGAATATTAAAAGCAATATAGCGTGAATTTTTAAAAAATAATTGAATTTTGTCATTAATTTTTTTTGAAAAAGTTTAATTGAGTTTTTTAAATATTATTTTTAGTTTCTATTTTCTAATATTTATTTAATTAAAGAATTTACAAATAATTGAAATTTCGTAAAATTGAATATTGTAAAGAAATGAATTTGAAAATTGTCAGAGAACTTTTTTGAAAATTATTAAAAATAATCGATATAAAGAAGAATTTTAGATAAAAATTCTGAAAAATAATAATTTGAATTGATAATGATTTTAATTATTATAAATTATTTTTATTAATAATTATTATTTATTATTTTTATTAATAATTATTATTTATTATTATAAAACATGAAGAAATTGATATAACTCCGAGTTATATGGATAGAGTATAAGAGTCGAAGACTCGAAGTTATCGATTTCGGTTTGCGCCCATTCGCCCGAATCCACGCGCCCGAATCAGAAATCCCGAATATAATTTCGCCTGAATGATAATTCACCCGAATCCAATTCCCCGAATGGTTTTTCCCGAAGTCATTCGCCCGAATAACATATTTGCCCGAAAAAAGTAAATATTAATAAATATAAGAATAAAAATAAAGAAATTAAAGAAAATTAAATTTTAAAAATTCAATTGTTCCAATAACTCGAAATGTACTGATTAAACTTCAGGGCGAACAAAAAACAATTGATCATTTGTTTATGAAACCTCCAAATTTCCTGTCAGTCTATATCAATTTAATTGGTTTTTTGTGTTGAATTGTTGATCGAAATTATTAGTGTATTTTAAAATGGATTAAACGTTTTACGCGATAATCTATAACTATTATTTAAGGGGTTACGTACACTTAGGATTTTCAAAAAATCGATTTTTTTTAAAATGCATTTTCTAAAAGTATACCATTTCAAAAGTATTCTCTGAAAATTTGAGACAAATCGGACTATTATTTATGGAGATATAGAATTTTGAATGGAGCCGTCTTAGCCATTACTGTGGCTAGGCGGCGGGATTCAAAACTTTGAACTCGTTTTTCTCAAAACCATGTTTTGGGAGTCGGTGATCACTGTAACTTGAGAACTGCTTTACCGATCGGTTTGAAATTTTTACCACTTATTTGTTATATAATTGGCCGGTACTTGAACGAAGGATTTTTTTTTTGACAATAATTTTTTTTTATAGCTGAAAATGTGAGTAAAATTTTGGTTAAAAAACAATTTTTGACTTTCAACATCCGCCATTTTGCAAAAAATCAAAATTTTTCAAATCCCTTCGTTCAAGTACCGCATTATATCATTACCTAACGATTTTTGGTCCGTAAAGTCCGTATTTTTAAATACTTTCACTGCTTCGAGCCCTGATATTGAAGTGTGGAAATTTTTTTTATATTATATAACAAAATGGCGGCGGTAAATTTCATATTCAAAAAAGATTTTTTTACGGCCGGAATAGTTTTTTGAAAAGTTTAAGTCCTGGAACAAAAAACAAAGAATACTGTAAACTTTGGAAGTACTTATGGATTTTTTAATTGGATGTAAACTTTATTTTTTATAATCAATTTATGGCTTATTTTTTGGCAAAAAATCGATTATAAATTTACTCAAAAAGTGCGCCATTTTTACAAAAATGGATATTACGAATATACCGTGTGATTATTTTAACCAAATTAATTATAAACTTTTACAGAATTTGCAGCAGAATTATTTACGGGAGTGAAATGTGGTAGAACTCTTGAAAGATTAGATGTTGAAGAAGCCAGTCGAATTTCTCGAAATGCATGCGTATCACCATGTTCCTTTGTTTTGGCGCTCTTATATATTGAACGATTAAAGGATTGCAATGCAGAGTACCTCCAACGAGTTGCACCTTCGGAACTCTTTCTTGTTACACTTGTAGGTTTTTCAAACAAATGTTTTATAAACAGCTTTAGATTTTGGAAAATTGTTGTAAACTCTTGTTTCATATTAAAAATTAAATTGAATTTTTTTTTTATAAATTTCACATTAATTTCTAAATTTTAATTAATTTTTGTACTTCTAGATGGTAGCAAGTAAATTTCTGCAGGATGATGGAGAGGAAGACGAAGTTTATAACGCAGAATGGGCAAAATCTGGAGACTTAACAATTCAACAAGTGAATCTTTTGGAAAAAGAATTTCTCAGTGCAATCGTAAGTATTGAAAGACATTGAAATATAATAGAATTCAATTTTTTTCTCCATTATACAAATTTTGCTTTACATCTCTTACAACCTTAAACAGGTACTGTTTCAAGAATCCAATTCTCAGATTTTTCAAAGTTTATTTTCGATCTAAATTTTATTCTATATTAATAAAGTTCAAAACATACAGATTTACATACTATTAACTACTTTTTTTACGTTGTGCTACTATTTGGGTACTTTTTTTAGTTTTCCGCCACTAAAAGCTACTATTTCTGTTTTTTTAGAATTTCCACTACTTTAAATTCGCTAATACTAGAAATCGAAAAATTATTCTCAAAAATTATAAAATCAAATTCTTTAAAACGATTCAATTATTTTCAAAAAATATTCGAAATTCAATTATTTTCAATATCTAGTAAGACTTAAATTATTTTCATAAATAATAAAATTAATCGAAGAATTTCAATTATTTATAATACTATTTTAAATTAATTAATCGAAAAATCCAATTATTTTTACAAATAAAGTTTTCCACAAGAATTCAATTATTTAAAATAAAATTTTCATAATATTTATTATATTTGAAAAAAAAATTAATTATTTAAAACAATGTTTATAAAATTCTTATGAAGAATTCAATTAATTTTCAAAAATAACAATATTTTACACAGAAATTCAATTCTTTTTAAACATTTTAATAACATTTTTTCGCAATAATTTAATTATTTGTATAAATATTAAAATTCTTCTCAAAAATTCAATTATTTTTGAAAATTATAATAAAATTCATCGCAGGATTTTAATTATTTTTAATACAGTTTTTCAGGAATTGCTCAAAAAATGTAATTATTCTTAAAAATTTAATTCCAATTCCACGAAAAAATCAATTATTTAAAAAAACGTTTTTTTAAATTCCTTTTGAAGAATTCAATTATTTACAAAATTATTAGAATTTTCACCGGAATTCAATTATTTTCAAATATTTTAATACAAATGTTCGAAAGTAATCAATTTTTTTTAAATAGAATTTTAATTAATTTTTTTTTGAAATAATTCAATTATTCTTTTAGATTTTAAAAAAATTCTTCCCAAAAATTCAATTATTTACATAAATAATTCTTCGAAAGAATTTAATTATGTAGATAAATAAGAGAATTATTCCCAAAAATTCAATTAATTTGAGGCATTTTAAAAAAAACTCTTTCCAAAATTCAATTATTTTCATAAAAATTTAATAAAATGCCACACAGACATTGAATTATTCTCAAAAATTTTAATAGTATTCTTTGTAAAATTTAATTATTTTTAAAAACTTTTCGCAATTCAATGATTTTTCAATATCTACTATTTTCATAAAATTTCCAAACAGAATTTAATTACAGGGCTTGGATCGTTTTTAAGACTCAAAAAAAGTCGCTTTAGTCGTAAAAATTCACAACAAAAGTCACTAAAAGTCGCATAAAATCTCCAAAAAAAGTCGCATGAAATTTTAGAAAAACGACAAAAAAGAAACACGAAAATGTAAAAAATGTAAAAAAAAATCACATTTCTCGACAACACATACTTTAATTTCAAACAATCCGGAATAAAATTTAATAAAATTCAAAGCTAAATTTTAATTAGGTATTTTTTACATTTTTTAAAAAATTCTCTTTAAAAATTTCAATTATTTTTATAAATAATAAAATTCTTCACCAAAATTCAATTATTCTAAAAAATTTTAATAAAATTCTTATCAAAATTTCAATTATCTTTATAAATAATATAAAAGTCATCCTAAAAATTCAATTATTTCCAAAAGTAATAAAATTCTTTTAAGAACTTCAATTATTTTCAAAAATTGTTTTAAATTTCGCGTCAAAATTTTAATTATCTTCATAAATAATAAAATTCATTCTGAAAATTTAATTATTTTCAAAAGTTCTTATAAAATTCTTTGCAAAATTCAATTATCTTCAAATGTAAGAAAATTCTTCGCAGAAATTCAATTATTTAAAAAAATTATTTTTAAATTCTCGTTAAAATTTCAATTACATTTATAAATATCAATATTCTTCTGCAAAATTCAATTACTTTAAAATTTTTTTTTTAAATCTGTTCATAATTTCAATTATCTTTACAAATAATAATATTCTTCTCTGAAATTCAATTATTTGCAAAAATTTTAATAAAATTATACGCAAGCATTTAATTATTTTCATAAATAATGAAAATTTCACAGGAATTCAATTACTTACTTATTTTTTATAAATTTCTTCGCAATAATTTAATTATTTTCATAAAAAATAATTAAAAAATTTTTTTTTATAAAGTCTTATAATATAAAATAATGATTTTATCACTCGGTCATCTTTAATTGTAATAAAACATGAAGGCATCGATTGCTCAAAGTCGAAGTCTCGGAGTGATCGATTTCTTCATGTTTTATAACAATTTTTGATAAGTTGTTTAATTTCAAAAAAGTTTGAATTTGCATGTTTCAAAAATCTTAACTCCTATGGAAAAATAATTATAATTAAATATTTATTTAAAATAGAAGTTATTGATGTTTTCGAAAAATTTGAAAGAAATTTGTAAATTGAAATGTAAATTATTTCCTTATGAAAATTGAGAATTTCCTACAAAAATATTAAGAAACGAGTTAATATGTTACGTTTTTTTCCCTAAAGAGAAGAATGATTTTGTGAACAATATTGTTTGCAAAAAAATTTCTGCTATTTAAAATTTAAGTAGAGTAATTGAAAGATGTGAAAAAAGCCAAATAGTCGCATTTGACAAATAAAAAACATTTCGAAAAAGTCGATTAGTCGCATTTTTTCACAAAAAAGTCGAAAAAAGTCGAAATAGTCGCACAATCCGAGCCCTGTAATTATTTAAAATTTTTTTGTAAAAATCTTCGTAAGAATTCAGTTCTTTTCATGAAATTAGTCGAAAGAAATCAATTATTAGAAATAGCAGGATAAGTAAGAAGTAAATATTTTTGATGAAAGTTAGGAAAAAGTCAGGAAAATAAAATATAGAATTGAATTTTTGTCAGTTTTGTGAAGTTTCTGAAATGAGTTTTTTTGGTCGTCAAGTTTAATTTTTCGTTATCTACTTGTTTACTGCCTTTTTTTAGTTTGAAAGCTACTTTTTGCTACTATTTTAAAATTAATTATCGAGTGCGAAATCTGAGATTATTTTCCATCATTCTAGAATTTTTATAAACCTTAATTTTATTAGCGAGAATTGAAAAAGGCATTAAATTTTTCTTCTTATGGTTTTAACTGCTACTTTGATAAAAAAAACAATTTTTTTGTATCTTCTAGATTTTTCAGAAATATATTTTAAATGTATACTTAATTTTCTACTTTTTTTGCTTTTAGGACTGGAGTGTTTTTGTTCACAATAAAGATTTCTGGGAGAGACTTCACAAGTTAGAAAGTGATTTGGCGTATAAAGAGGGAAACAGACGCGGATGGTTTTCTTATACCGAACTGAATTGTTTAATAAATACTGTTCAATTATTCCCTGTGATACAAGCTTTCCTGAGTGTTTCCACGGTCTGCCTCGCTGCTTATGTGGCAGGTATAGCAACAATTTTAGGATCAGTCATGCTCGCAAGTCACCTGCCAGGAACGGTCTTTACATCAAGACGATTGTCCCGATGCAATAGTTTGTCGTCTGACGTCTACTACAAAGGTTTCTCGGAATGTGAATCTTCTAATTTAAAAACGGATTCGGAAATTCTCCTACCAACAAACAATACTATCCCCACCATGGTGTACAATAATTCTCATCTTGAAAACATTGCTTCAAATGATCCAGATCTCGTGGAATTTCCTACCTGGGATCACTGGTCAGAATCCACTGGAACATTTCTCTCAAACTTAGACTTACAGGCAGAATCAATAAAGAATCACAACAAAGTTTTCCAAGATGTCAGTGAATTTTATATAAATACGGAACCTCTCGAGGCGGATTTATTTTTACCCAATAAGGAAGAATTAGTTACTATTTTCAATCGAAGAGAAGTTGACGATCGAGATTTTAAATTGTCTTTACAAAACTGGAGACATTATGTGAGTTTTATTTCTCCGCGGTAGAAAAAGAAACATTTTTATTTTAGTAATATTTTAATAGTTGTATGAGAACTTAAGTCACCTGCTAAATTATTTAAAAAAAACGAAAGCATATGTAAAAAATGTGTATATTTTTTGTACGAACTGTCAGGCCGAAATAATTTTGCAAGTAAATATATTGGTAATTGTAACAAAAAAATTGCCTTAATTTAATATATGTAATAAAATTTACATTAATTCCAGTAAATATTGTTGAAAAAAAAATCATTTTTCTCCCTTGCATGTACCAATAAATTTTCTCCTTCTCGCTTTGCTTTAGAAATTGTACGAAAGAAATTAATCTAGTAATTAATTTAACGGGACATTTTGGTCATTAATTTCGAGAAAATTACACCTATATTTGTAACGTCATATCTGCGATTCTAATTATGCAAAAGTCTTGAACATAGAATTATTTAACGGAAAATTTTATAATCTTTCCAAAACTATCTTAAAAAACTTTCTACGTTAATTTTGAACAAAGTTATCAACATTTAAAGAATTTCATGCTTTTAATGCCACTTTGGAAAGTGGTCTCTCAATTTTGACCGATAGTGTAACCAGAATCAAGAAAATCTGAAACCGATTTCAACTTAAGTCGTATTGGATAAGCCGGTTTGAATTTTTAAAATCCAAAATCAGATTCTGATTCAGCGACCCCCAAAAACCCCCGGCGAGTAACAAGTTTAAATTAATTTCAAAAAATTGTTGGCCACCATATTGGATCCGCCATTTTGAATTTTTATAAACTAAGATCATATTCAGAATCAGCGGCTCCGAAAACCCCCAAATAACATGTTTCAAGGAAATCCGAACAATTTACAGGACTCGGATTGTGCTACTTTTTCGACTTTTTTCGACTTTTTTGTGAAAAAATGCGACTAATCGACTTTTTCGAGATTTTTTTTTAGTAAAATGCGACAGAAATTTAAAAAAAAAATTTTAATTTAAAGGAAAAAGTTCTCGGAGCAATCGATGTCTTCATGTTTTATAATAATTAAAGATGACCGAGTGATAAAATCATTATATTTTATATTAATATTATATAAGACTTTATAAAAAAAATTTATAAATTATTTTTTATGAAAATATATGAATTATTGGGAACAAATTTATAAAACATTAGTAAGTAATTGAATTTTGATATTTACACACGGTGAGCTTGGATGAAATTCAACCCAAAAGTCATGACCCTTTCTGGTTTATTTTTGATATTATTTAAGTGATGTCTAATAATCATTTTAAGATAAAAATTAAAATAATCGTTGGAGGGAAACTCAAATTATATTGATTTTTTAATTTTTTTTCTAGGTTATTGTACATATTTTCTGAAGGATAATGTTTTAAACAATATTTATTGCTTCAAAAGATATCTTTTAACATTAAAAAACATTCTATTTAGTAAAAACAATATTTTAATATTTATAAAGCTAAAAAATTGTCGAAAAAGTCGAAAAAGTGTGAATTTTTTCGTTTTTCTGAAAATTACTCTTTCATAAGTCATTAAACACTACTATTATGCAAATGTAAATTAAAGTACATAAAATTTCCTGGAAAACTAAACAAGAAAAACTATTCTATCTATTGTCGTTACAGAAATATGATGATTTAAAGTTCGTTTTTAATGAAAAAGTAATTGAAATTTGTCATTAAGTCCAGTTTCTTTGGTGAAATCTTTTTTTCTGGACCTTACTTGAAAACCATATAATAATAATTATGTTTAAAAAAGTTTAATTTTAAACAATTTTAAATAAATAAACTTTTTATTGAACTAACAGAAATCATGTTCATTTATTTTAGAAAATTCAACGAAATTCCATTAACGATTTTTAATTTAATAGTATATATGGGTGATTCTCCCGAAATACTCCTTTTTGTGAGTTACAAACAGAAAAGAAAAAAAATTATTATTTATGGATTAATGCAGTCAATTATATTGAGCTTTCAAAAATCTACCACCTCTATAGCATGATCATGCTAACTTTTAGCTTTTAAAGTATATATTTTAAATTAAAATTTACAAAAAAATTAAGAGGTTAAAATTTGGCGCCGGCGTTTTTTATTATATATATTTTTCTATTTACAAAAAATTATTTAAAAATTATAATTTATTAATATTATCTATAAATTTTATAGATTTTGAAATACTTACAGTTATCAAAAATCTCTTTAAACAATTGTCAAAAATTATTTTTCATACATTTTAGGTTCACTTTTCACTGGCAGTTTGTAAACAACCGACAATCATATCAATTTTTAATTTTTATTCAAAAAAGTGAGAGGAATGACGGGTGAGAGGAATGACGATTTCAACATTTTTTAATTTTATTTAATTGACAAATAATTTTCCTCCAGCTTAGAATGCCCTATCATGTTTATAAAGGATAACTTTATGTGAAAAAAATTTGCGATCAATTTATATATATTAATATTGTTTTTATTAGGGGTGAGAGGAATGACGCTTTAGGTTGTGAATCTCTGCTTATGTCTCAATTTTAATTTTTTTAACGCAAAATAATGACATTTTTTAAAAAGTAACTTAAGAAATTAATATTAGAGATGTTAATTTAAATATTGATCACAATAATTAATCAATATCTCTACCCACAGCAAAAATATTGGATAATATTCAACGAGTGAGAGGAATGACGCGGTACTACATGACAAATTTCATTTTCTATATTTAAAAAAACTACACGACATATTTTATTTATATTTTTGAAAATTATTCTTAAATATCATAACTTTTAGAAAAAATTAATAAAGTACCAATTTTCATGTTTTAAATAATTGTTTTACCTATTGAAAAAATGAAAAGCACTTAGATGACAGGTTAGAAAATCGATTTTGAGGTGGTAAAATATTTTAAAAATGTATTAAACAATAAAATTTTACAACTTTTTCTTGCAGAACATTTAGAAAAAGTGATAAAATAGGGAAATATGACTTGGTATTTTCCCAAATGATTATAATTATTTAGAAAATCTTGATTACATGCAAAATGAGGTTTTTTGGAGAATCACCCATATATTTAATATATTTAATAGTATATTTATTTAATAGTAGTGTTTAATGACTTATAAAAGAGTAATTTTCAGAAAAACGAAAAAATTCACACTTTTTCGACTTTTTCGACAATTTTTTAGCTTTATAAATATTAAAATATTGTTTTTACTAAATAGAATGTTTTTTAATGTTAAAAGATATCTTTTGAAGCAATAAATATTGTTTAAAACATTATCCTTCAGAAAATATGTACAATAACCTAGAAAAAAAATTAAAAAATCAATATAATTTGAGTTTCCCTCCAACGATTATTTTAATTTTTATCTTAAAATGATTATTAGACATCACTTAAATAATATCAAAAATAAACCAGAAAGGGTCATGACTTTTGGGTTGAATTTCATCCAAGCTCACCGTGTACAAAGATAATTGAAATTTTGAGGATTTCAATTATTTATAATACAATTTAAAGTAAATTCCTAAAAAGATGGAATTATTCTCTTAATTTTTTTGTAAGAATTTAATTACATTTCACGAATATAATTAAATTCTTCATTGAAATTCAAACATTTTCACAATCTACTTTTTTAATAAAAGTTCTCAAAAGAATTCAATTATTTAAAAAAATGTAATAAAATTCGATGCAGGAATTCAATTATTTTCATAAATAATAAGATTCTTTACATTATTTCAATTATTTAAAGAAAAATTTGAAAAAATTCATTGCAAGAATTCAATTACTTTTATAAATTAATAAAATTCTTCACAGGATTTCAATTATTTTTAAAACAATTTTAAGTAAATTCTTCGAAAAATGTCACTATTTTCAAAAATTTTGATAAAATTCTTCGAAAGAATTCAATGATGTATTTTTAAAAATTCATGCTATAATGCTTTTAATATTCAATTATTATCTAAAATTTTAACTAATATTCATTTTCAAATCAATTTTTATTGGAAAATTCTACAAGAATTCAATTATTTAAATACGAAAATAAATAATTTATTGAATAAATGAATGTTTTTCGAAACTAAATTAACATAAAGAATTTTATCAACAAATTTGATTTTTGTCGAGAAATTTTAATAAAATTTTCAAGAATAATACAATTTTTCGAGGAATTCAATTGAAATTGTATTAAAAATATTTGAAATTCTATGATGAATTTTTATTATTTATGAAAATAATTGAATTTTTGTAAAAAATTTTATTATTTATGAAAATAATTGAATTATTGCAAAGTACGCTTAGAATTTTATCAAAATTTTTTTTTTTAAATAATTGAATTCTTTTGAAAAATTTTATTAAAACTGTAGATATTGAAAATCATTGAATTGAGAAAAATTTTTTGAAAATAATTGAAATTTTGCAAGGAATTTTATTAAAATTTTTGAAAATAATTGAAGTTTGGAGAAGAATTTTATTATTTTTAAAGATAATTGAATTTTAATAAGAAATTTTTTTAATTTTTCGAGCATAATTGAATTTCTGGGAAGAATTTTATTACTTTTGAAAATAATTGAATTTCTGCAATCATTTGTAACTTCTCCAAAATTCAATTTTTTCCAATTACTTAAATAAAAATCCCTGACTTTTCCCTGACCAATTTTACTTTCCCTGCCCTGAATTCCCTGATTTCCCTGACCTGTGGTAACCCTGAAAAATTTTAATTTTTTCAAAAAATTAAATATAATACTAAAATTCAAGGTTTTTAAAAAAATTCACATCCAATTCACGGTTTTTTCAAGGTTTGACAAAATTCACGTCCATTTCAAGGTTTTCAAGGTTTCAAGGTCCGGTGGCCACTCTATCTAAACTAAAGTTTGGAATAGAAACCTCCGATTAATTTGCTTTCATAAAGAATTTTTTCGAAAAAAAGCTTAGGCGGTCCATTCAAGGTGACATTACAATTTTTTATTTATTTATTTATTTTTTTTTTGCAATTTTCTAAATTATGTTTTTCATACTTCTAACATATGGCAAGCTTCGCACTCCATTATGAGTTTAAAAAAAGTAGGAAAAAGTAGTCTCGATGACAAAAAAAAATAGGAAATAGTAGCCTCGGTGACAAAAAAAAGAATTAAAGAATTTCATTAAAAACTTTTAAAAAAATCGAATTTTCAAAGTATTTTAATTTAATAATTGATAAATAATTAAATTTTACAAGGGGTCACATTCTAATGTATTCATGTTTCTAAGTGCGAAGATTAATAGTTAAAATTTTTATTAGTTAATTTAAAAAAATATACACACTTCAAATTTTTTAATAAAATTGAATTTTCGCAAAGTTTTTTTTGAAAATTTTGAAAAATAAAATTTTTTAACTCTGTTATTTCAAGATAATTGAATTTTTATAAACAATTAATTGAGAATTTTTGATGTAATTGAAATTTCTTTATATTCTATTACAAATAATTTACTTCTTTTAAAGAATTTTATTTAAATTTTTCGAAAATAATCAAGGGAAGTTAGTCACCGTATAATTATAATTTTATTTTTAAAAATTTATTCGCAATACATTCAATTATTTTCATAAATAGTAAAACTTTGACAAAACTAAATTACTTTCAGGAATTTTAATAAAATTCATTGTAAAAGTTCAATTATTTCTATGAATAACAAGAATTCATTTATATTCACCACAAGAATTCAATTACTTAAAAACAATTTTGACAAAATGCTACACGAATATTTAATTATTTTCTAAAAGAATGAAAATTTCATAGGAATTGAATTATTAAAAATAGAGTTTATCTACATTTTTTTTTAAATCAATTATTTGAAATTTTTTTATAAAATCCTCGCAATAATTCAATTACTTTCATAGATAATAAAACTCATTGGAGAAATAGAATTATGTTTAATACAAATTTAATCAAATTCGTCGAAAAATGCAATTATTTTGAAAGATTTGATTAAAATTTGTCGAAAGAATTCAATTATGTTTAGATTTTAACACTGTTTTCAAATGGAAATGTGAAAACTAAAAATCTAAATTTGACTATTTGTTGAGAAAAGTAGCTTTTAGTAGCATTAGGCTCAAAAAAGTAGCCAAAAAGTAGCCTCATATCAAAAAAGTAGCAAATAGTAGCTTTTAGTAGAAGAGTGCGAAGCCTGATTTATGGCTATAAAGTGAAAATCCACGGAACAAGTCGATTTTATGTGTGATTCATTAATTTTATTTTAATGCCGTGAAATTTAAAAGCTAAAAACAAAAATATGATCTTTTCTCAGAAAATAATTATACTCATATAAATAAGTTCAATAGTAACAAAATGAGCCCTTTTCATACAGACGTACACATATAGTTTTATATAATATATAATCAAAAACTATATATATAAAATTATTTACAAATATAATATCAATTTTTACAGAAAAACTTGAACGAATTTAACCAAAAACATGTCAATTGTCAGAAATATGTATCATCTATACAGCTTAAACATATATACAAAAGAAAAACCAGCGCGAAATAATAATTTTAATTAGTCTTTTCGTTCAATATAGGAGCTTCTTCCGTGGACGTTTTTGTTGTTTCTGACTCTGTCTTTTCTTCATGACGAAGGAATAGTAAAGGAGTCATACCTAAAATGCAACCTATGGTTACTCCTATAACTCGACCCTGCAAAGTTCAAAAGAGTCAAATTTTATAAATTTATTTTTAAAATTGAGGCCTTGGATCCAATAACTCGCCCGACGCTCGGAGGAACGCGCAACTGCCAGTCAGTGAGCAGTGAGCGCCTCTGGGCCACTCACTGCTACCCGACTGGTATTAGCGCGTGCCTCCGAGCGTCGGGCGAGTTATTGGATCCAAGGCCTCAATTATTCATTTAAAAACGTGAGTTACTTTCAACTAAAAGCTTATTTTACAATTAACTTTTCAAGAAATTAATTATAAAAATTTTTTTCAGTTTTATAAATTTAACAGTCATATAAAATTTGTTGTTTCAAATTAATGTTTAGCGCAAAAGAATCATTTTGAATGCATACCAGTTACCGAGAGTGAACCAATTGTTGTGGGTCCTAATTTTCTTTTTCAGATAAATATAGTATAATACAGAATATTTAAAAACAAAAATAATCTCTAAAAAAATCTTTATATTTTCAATTGCATGCTCACATGATAAAATTTCATATAAAGCCGTACTAAAGTAATAACTTTTTTACCTTTATTTTTACTTTATTTAAAAATTAATAATACCATCAACTCCCTTAAAAAAACGAAGAAAATTCACTCTACTGAACCCCTTTTTCAGTAAAATAGAAGCCTTTCATAAATGTTTTAAATTCGGGGTTCTACACCACCCCAGTTTTCCGTTAGAGGATAAAAAACTCAATTTCCGTTCTAGGGTTAATTTTCATTTATATACTAAAACTTACCATATTTGCTGACATTCTCGATTTTGGTAGATCTAATTGAATAGGTGTTAACTTTGGTGGTGTGAAGCCAATTTTTTGTGCTAAAAGTTCAACATAATACGCAGATCCAATTCCCAATATATCTGAGAAAGTATTTCCAATAGCAGCAGCTGCCATAGTTGACAAAGTAATAACAGTTCCCAAGTACATCTCAATGCGATCTCCCTATATTCAAGACAGTTTTTAAAATAAATATACATATATTTATTTTTTAACCATTGATACTAAGAATTAAAGAATTGAAAAAAGTGAAAACAATTAAACAAAGGATTTTTTAAAATTAAAAACAGTTTTAATTTGAAATAAAAATTTTTATTTTCTAATGACATTAATATACGTACAGCAATAATCATGATAAAGTTGTCGAGAAAACCAAATCCAATGAAGGGAATGGCATTAGCGACCAAGACTAAAGAATGCAATTTATTAATTCATTTATTACAGTTTCATTTTTAAAATTATATTGAATTCAAGTTCTTGACCTCAAAAATGTTCGATTATTAAGTTAATATTCAAAATAGTTATAGATGAAATAATAATTAATCGGAAATTTTAACTGTATTGAAAGTCGAATACAGCAAAAAAAATGTTATTTTCATTTAAAATAAAAACAATCATCAGTTATCTAATAAAACTTGACGTCAGAAACTTGAAATATTTATGGATCTTAATCTTTAAATTAAAAAGAATAAATATTTTACGATTACAAGAAATAGAAAATTTAAAATGAAAATAGTATAACTTATTACCTCGCAAAAGATCTCTACTACAAGGTTCTGGTACTGTCTCGACTGGAAATACAAAACAATTTCTTTCAGTTGGAAATTCCAAAATAAATATTCTTTATCGCCCGTTTGCGGGCAAAATAGTACTCTTATAAAGCATTAGTTATTTTTTATTTTTCTTAAAAAAAATTAGCTTTTCTGTCTCAGAGCTATAATGTCTTTAATAATATTGAGTGCAAGTTCATTCTTCTGAAAAGTATCATTTTTCTTCTTTTTTGTATATATGGGTAAATCTAAAAAACAGTCACTTAAAAATTTCTGGGTGATTTTTAGGACATGGAAAATTGAACTAAACATAACTTTTGAAGCAATTTATGTATTAATATGATATTTTGTGTATTATTAGTTTTTATATATACATTTCAAATATACCAGGTGAGAAAAGTGTGCAGTAAAGAATAGCAATACGGTGAGTAATTAAAAAGGCATGATTCTACGTTCCACTATCATAACATTTTTAGGGTTTTTGCATGTACTTTAGAAGCATTTCATTTTTAAAAATTTCTAAATACCGTATTTTGGAAAAGAATATTATCAGGGTTGCCACGCTTTTGCTCATTTCAAATTCCCTGACTTTTCCAGGTTTTTAAAACTACATTTATATTTTACAAAATTTATAATTCAAACCTTTTTGAAATTAAACAACTTATAAAAAATTGTTATAAAACATGAAAATATCGATCACTACGAGTCTTCGACTCGGAGCAATCGATATCTTCATGTTTTATAATAATTAAAAATTTTGGACTGATAAAATCATCATTTTATATTATAAGACTTTATAAAAAAAAATTTTTAATTATTTTTTATGAAAATAATTGAATTATTGCGAAGAAATTTATAACAAAAATAAGTAAGTAATTGAATTTTCCAAAGAATTTTATTAAAATTTTTTTAAATAATTGAAATATTGCTAAGAATTTTATTAAAATTTCTGAAAATAATTGAATTTTAGAGAAAAATTTTAATACTTATAAAAATAATTGAAATTTTGACTATAACTTTTTTTTAAACTTTTGACTATAATTGAATTTCTGCTAAGAATTTTATTACTTTTGAAAATAATTGAATTCTTGAGAAGAATTTTTTAATAATATTTCTTTTTAAATACCTAATTATTTTTAATACAAAAAGTAAGTAATTTATTGAATAATTGAATGTTTCTCAAAATTGAATTCTCATAAAGAATTTTATTAACAAATTTTTAAATAATTGAATTCTTTTGACGAATTTTAATAAAATTTTTAAGTATAATTACATTTTTCGAGGAATTCGATTAAAATTGTATCAAAAATAATTGAAATTCTGCAATGAATTTTATTATCTATGAAAATAATAATTGAATCCCTGTAAAAAATTGTATTACATATATAAGAATAATTGAATCTCTGTAAACATAAATTGAATATTTTTGAAAATAATAGAATTATTGCGAAGAAATTTATAAAAAAAAATTTTAAATAATTAATTTCTTTTGGAAATTTTTTTTAAAAATAGTACATATTGAAAGTCATTGACTGGAGGAGAATTTTTGAAAAAGAAATTGAATTTGTTAAAAAGAATATCATTAAAATTTTTGAAAATAATTGAATTTTGGAGAAAAATTTTAATATTTATAAAGATAATTGAAATTTTGACTATAAATTTTTTAAAATTTTGACCATAATTGAATTTTTGCGAAGAATTTTATTACTTTTGAAAATAATTGAATTTCTTTTATGAATTTTAATAAAATTTTTAAGAATAATTATAAATTTTTCGAGAAATTCCATTAAAATTGTATTAAAAATAATTGAAATTTTGCGATGAGTTTTATTATTTATGAAAATAATTGAATCATTGTGAAGAGAAATTGTATAGGAAACTCTTTTAAAATTGAATTAAGAAAATTGAAATATAAAATAAAGAAAAATTAAATTTCAAGAATAAGCACAATAGATTTAGAAAACAATAATTTTCCAGGATTCCAATCAAAATTCCCTGACTTTTCCAGGTTTTTTCAAGGTTTATAAAAATCCCCTGACATTTCCAGGTTTTCAGGTTGCGTGACAACCCTGAATATGGTACTATGGTACTATGAATTTATTAATAGGATAATCTAATTTCAAATAAAATGAGCAGTTAAATAATTTTTAATGGCACAATTTTATTATAATTAAAAAGAATTGTTTATAATAATGATTCGCGTATGTGTTCTTTTGTGTTTGTGTTAAATTTCTCAATAATACTCACTTTGACTGTATTTTAGAGTCTGGAATTTTCTATTAGGATTTATTTTAGTTTTATTATCAACGTAAATTCTCTAAACAAATATTCTTCAGTCTCTTCTTGAGACTAAAGGCAACTACTGCCTAACTTAGGCTACTATGGCCAATATACTTTGTTTCGTCAGGATTCACGGGCAACTGCCTCGATTTCCCTTTGTCGATTCTTTTTAATATTGAACGACATTTTGGTAGGAAGGACCTACTTATTATTGTGATATTAAGTTAGTACTTAATGATTATCTGCTACCTTGCAGATTTGTTTGAATGTCATCACCCAAGTTACCTCATAAACTGACATTAATAATTTCTTATTAAGTTCATTTAATTACAATATGTTTTTTACTAAAAATATAAAAATGTTACGAAGTCATACGTAACACACTCTAACAAAATAATTCAAAACCATCTAATTTCTTTTGTAACTGATAGTTTTATCATTTTTACATAAACCTGTAAAATGATGTAAGCAATGAAGGAGTGCTCACAAATTAAAATTTTTTTCTTTTTTGTCAAAGTGAGTAAGTTTTTTAGATTTGTCCATATGGCTATTTTCTAATACTAGTAGCGAAATCTAGTAACAGAATTTTAGTTATACAGTCATGTCCCTGTTTGGAATTTTAAGGATGATTTAAAAGTGTAAAGCGTGGACTATGCTAAATTTTTTTGCATGCTAAACTAAGTAAAGGTATATATTTTATTGTTAGTTCTGTTGAGCAAATATGAGGTATTGTAGAGGCCCAAGTACCACCATGAGGCATAACTACCACAAATTTAAAAAATTTAACTGAATGTGACGTCTGGAGAATAAAAATATTGGTCGAACTTCTCGGTAGTATTGAAAACGAAAGAATCCAAGTTTTTAAAAACTCCTTGCTTGATAGGAGTTAAAGATGTTTAAGGCTTTGAAGTTTTGTTGGATTATGTGTGATGTGAAGGGACAAATTCGATTTTACATCTAATTATGTGTCATTTTTTTTATCCCAGTGAATTATGTAGTAAAGTAGTCGTTACAGTGGAAATTTCAAGACTTAAGTGATAAATGTATGAAAATTCATTTCTAATATTAAAAACTTTGAGTGCAATTAGAAAAAATTCTAACTTTTAAACTTTCATTATACTTTAATTGCATGCAAGCTTACATGATGCATTGATATTCTTTGATGTGTCCGCTTGAAGCAAAACAAACAATTTTTTACCCTTTAATAATACGTTAAATTGTCATTCGACTCTTCATAAATTATTATTAAGAAAAACTTGTAAAGTTCTCTTAAGTTCACTCTCTAAATATAACTAAAAGTCAAAAATCAATTAGAATACGTCAAAAGTCTGCAACACAAGAAAGTAAATTTTCAAGTATTTTTAATTTAAAAATTGTAAGAAATTATAACGAAGTGAATCGTTACTTATTCTGCATAATCTGTAATGTGTAGGATAGTTCCGCGTTCAAGGAGTCTTTCCGTGCATATAAATTCAATACTCTTTTAAGTCAAAGACTGTTGACACATTTCAAGTGAATTTTCACTTATTCAGATTTAGAGAGTTGAATGTTTTAGAAAAAACTTTTCACAATTTTCTTACCATACTTTTGAAGAAGCCAGTCATCAGGAACTGCACAATAACTGCCTGTGGGATCTACTTGTCCAAGCGACGGAATCGCGCTCGGACGACCAAATTTATTTCTCCATCGAAAAGTAGCCAATTGACCTGTTGAATAAGAATTAAAAAAATATTTATTTAGGAACAAGAGAGAGTCTTAATTTCAATTCTAGACTTAAAATATATGGAACCGTCGGTATTAGGGTTCCCCGATGTATATCACGAGCAGGTTGCACGAGCGAATTTTGTATACACAGGGCTCGGGTCGTCTTTAAGACTCAAAAAAAGTCGCTTTAGTCGCATAAATTTTCAACAAAAGTCACGAAAAGTCGCATAAAATTTCCGAAAAAGTCGAAAAAAAGTCGCATGAAATCTTAGAAAAAATCAAAAAAACGACAAAAAGAAAACACAAAATTGTCAAAATTGTAAAAAAATCACATTTCTCGACAACAGATACATTAATATCAAACAATCCGAAATATAATTTTAAAAAATTTAATAAAATTCATAGCAAAATTTTAATTATGTATTATTAACATTTTTTTTAAAATTCTCTTTAAAATGTCAATTATTTTTATAAATAATAAAACTCTTCTACGAAATTCAATTATTTAAAAAAAATTTTGATAAAATTCTTCTCTAAAATTCAATTATTTTCAAAAGTAATAAAATTCTTCGCAGAAATTCAATTATATTCAAAATTTTATAAATAATAAAATTCATCATAAAAATTTAATTATTTTCAAAAGTTCTGATAAAATTCTTTGCAAAATTCAATTATCTTCAAAATGTAAGAAAATTCTTGGCAGAAATTAAATTATTTTCCAATTTTTTTTTAAATTCTCCTCAAAATTTCAATTATCTTTGTAAATAGTAAAATTCTTCTGCAAAATTCAATTACTTTTAAACATTTTTAAAAAAATCTGTTCAAAATTTCAATTATCTTTGAGAGTAATAAAATTCTTCTCTGGAATTCAATTATTTGCAAAAATTTTAAATAAAATTCTTATCAAAAGTTAAATTATCTTTATAAATAATAAAATTCATTTTGGAAATTAAATTATTTTTAATTTTTTTTTAAATTTCTCCTCAAAATTTTAATTATCTTTATAAATAATAAAATTCATCCTGGAAATTTAATTATTTTCAAAAGTTATATGATATATATGTTCTTTGCAAAATTCAATTATCTTCAAAAAGTAAAAAAAATTTTGGCAGAAATTAAATTATTTTCTATTTTTTTTAAATTCTCCTCAAAATTTCAATTACACAGGCCTACAAAATTTAGAATTTTGTCAGACTCAGAAACAGGATAAGTCATTTCCGATGTAATTTTTCACCCTGAATCCAAAACTGGCAGCGAAATTGCTCTATCACGTCAGGATTCTGAGATATTCTAACCTAAAAGAGTAAAAAAGGCCATTTTTGGCAACATTTGACTCTCAATAAAATCTACAAAAAATTTTTTTTATCATTGGAACAAATTTTAAAAGAAAGTACAATTATTCACCTTTCAAAATATTCTACACCCGATCCGATCCGCCTTTTTTCACTAAGGTACAACAATTTAAAGTTTAGGTTCCACGACCGATGTCGGATTTTCAAAATTCAAAATGGCGGATCCAATATGGCGGCTGTTAAAATAAAAAATTGATCGGATTCGCTTGAAACTTTTTACTCGGGGGTTTTTGAGGTCGCTAATTACGAATCTGATGTCAGATTTTCGAAATTTAAAATTGCGGATCTAATATGGTATTGTATGTTAGTAAAATCGAAAAACGTAAAATTCGAACATTTAGGGCATAATTTATACACTCTTTTAGTAAAGAAAATTAAAAGTTTTATTTTTTTTATGAACCTTTACACATTTTTCTTCAAAGGATCTTCGTATAGTTGGTTTCGTTTTCAGAATATAATACAGAATCACTCCTTTGCTTATATCTGGACCTGTAAATACATCTTTTCTCAATTTAGATATGGGTAAATCTAAAAAACATTCAACTTTTATGTACGTATGCCCTACAAAAAACCTAATTCCTTCTGGATAAAATACATGTTGTACTACTCAATGCCTCAGAAAAAGTTTGGAGTGGTTAATTGAATAATTTATGTGTTATGCGACTTAAAAGTCAGAGAATAATAGAAAAACTCAAAAATTTGGCGGTGATTTTTAGGAGATGGAAGATTGAACTGAAAATAACTTTTGAAGCAATTTATGTATTAATCTGATATTTTGTGTATTATTATTTCTTATTTATTCATTTCAAATATACTAAGTGAGAAAATTGTGCAACAAAAAATAGCGAAATGGTGAGTATTTAATAAGGGGTGACTCTAATTTCAACCACAATAAATTATTTTAGTTTTTTTGCATGTAGTTTTTGAAGCATTTTAATTTTTAAAAATTTCTAAGTACACATTGTATTTGACAAACGATTGTTAACAATTTGGTATGTTAACAAAACTTGTGCCTTTAAAATAAATTGACCTTTAATGGTAAAATATTATGAATGGTGGAGTGTAATCTTTATTTAAATGACACCTTATTTGAAGGCACACTTACAAAATAATTTAAAACCACATAATTTCTTTTGTAACTGATAGATTTCTCATTTTTACATATACCTGTAAAATGCTTCAAAAAGTTTTTATTAGGAATGTATAAAAATCGTGATTTACTGCATCGTGTGGTTTTTCACGTATGTATTTTGAAGTTGGTGCAAAGCTATGATTTTAAAATTAGCCAACATTTGTTTTTTTGTATAAATGACGAAGTTCATACTAATTGTCAATTGTAACCTATTCATTAACGTCAAAAGTAAAGAAACCGCAATGTCTTCAGGTAATTTAATATTATCCTTTATATTTTTATTATATTTAAAAATACTTTTTTTTCTTGATTAGTATTTACTGTTGCCATGTATTTATTAATAATTTCGCTAGATATAAAAATCCTCAAACGGGATAGAATGCACGGAGAAAAATGGATAGTCAAATTTATTATCTAGATAACCATGGGTGATGATCTTGGATACTCAACTATAGGACAACCATCTAGACAGTGCTGCCAGACCAGGAAAATCAAAATTCTTCAAACTTCTAAAACTTTTCTTCAAAAATCTTCAAAACCTTATGAAAAAAATCTTCAAAAAAATCTCCAAATTTTAAAAAACTTAGAATCAAGAATATTATGAAATTATATAATTATTATAACTAATATTTGATCTGAAAGGTTTTGCATTAGATCATAGAATATGTTTCAACCAAACAAAATTTATTCTCTGATGGTAAATTGTATTCTGCTGCAAGAGACTGTTCTTACGTATATCAGGGTGAGATACCATGTGAGCAGAATACGTCTACCGAAAGCAGAAAATCATGAGAGTGAAAAGAACAACAATATCTACCTATCTTTTTTGTACTCATGGTTTTCTGCTTTCGGTGCAAATATAGCGAACATATCTCTCTCACATTTATGCATTTACGGTTTAGTCACAAAACACTACCAAATGGTAACAATTTACATTCATCTCTCACCATTCTAGTGTTATTTAAAAAAGAAATTAATAAAACTTACTTCTTAAAAAAAATCTTCAAATTTTAAAAAAATTTCTTCAAATTCTTCAAATTTCTCAAAACTACAAATTATTCTTCAAATTTGAAGAAAAATCTCCCAATCTGGCAGCACTGCATCTAGATATTCAAATTTAGTATCTTGGGATAATCAAACTTACATACTAACTGCCATTATCCAAGATGTTCACATTTATTGACTATCCTATACACGGAGAAACTTTTAATACCACTAATTCTTAAAACTGGTGAGACATTTTAGTATGTTAGGTTAGATTCAAGGGAAAAACGACATAGGTTATAGAAATTGCTATTGAGACTATCAAAAACACTCATTCAGTATATATTTTACAGTTCTTCATAAGGAAACTAACGAAAATTAGTATGTTGTTTTAGAAAGAAAATAATAATTTTTGCAAAGTTGGGAAAGCCATGAATTAAAAAGAAACACAAAAAATTAATTGTCTATAGATACTCATAGAGACGATAGTGATACTTGGATCTGATGGTAGATGGCATTAGTGTATGTCACTGTAACTGTAGGTAAATATATTTAACACGACGTAAGAACCTAACCTATATTATTAACGCACACGCAAGTAAAGACACGACGATTGGTCACGGAAACCGAAAGATCGCACGATTCGTTAGAAGTACACAGCTGAATCGTCCTTATATATTAAACGAGTGGAAAAATATGTGCCTTCGAGAGAGAGCATTTTTTAAAATAACTTACTAATCAAATTATGTAAATAAGTAAAAGTCGTGAAAAAAATTATGTTATATTGAGGAACAGTTCTTGAATTTAATTTGGCATGAGGAGACATTCACGTTTATTAATAAAAGGTTTTTTTCTTTCATACACGTGTGAATTTCAACTTCGAAAACATTAGGGTTAGTTCGCGACGTCAGGTGATGGACTCGGTGATGCTCGGGCGAAATCGGTTAAGTCCGCCCGCAGTCCTTCCAAAATTGGTATGTTACGTTAGAATGTCTGTTATATATTCTATCTATATGTGGAAAAAAGGTTAGAATTACCGTATTATTTCACAAACAAAAACTAGCATTTTATTCTTTTCTAAAGAAAAATAAGACTATTTCTAATGCAGATAGTAATTTTTGTACACCGAAGGTTGCTTAATATATAACGAACTTATCATATTTTCGTATTAATGTTGAAATTATTAGCACAACGCACGAAAAATCCTCACATTCTAACGTACTTTCAAGTCCAACGCACAATAGGTTCGCGAAAGTCGTTCGCGAACGAGACGCATGAGATAGACAAGGACACAAATATATCTCTGTTCTTTTCTAACTCATGCTTTGCGTTCGCGAACGACTTTCGCGAATCTATTGTGCTTAGGCCTTTAGAATAAAGATAACCAAATATATTTAATATTTAATATTTAATATTCTCCGTGTAGATAATAAACGCAAGTTGCTGTGTTTATACACATCTAAATTGATCAATAAGAAATATTTAATGATAAAAGTTAATTTTTTTAGAAATTAGTGAACATTTTTCCTAGATAAACAATTTTTTATGGAAAATCTGAAAATCTTAAAGAACAAAATACATTAATTTAACGATACTCTTGAAATGTTTAAATTCTTTTGACAGGTTTAAAGGTTATGTTGCTAATTGTAAGTTTTATATATTTTTTAACAATATTTTTTAAGCAATATTATATCTGATATTCAGTATAAAAAAACTTGACAATGCTTTTAAATTTCGAATAATATAAAACTACTTAACGGTGTTCGATGGTCTCTTAAATTTCTCGATAATGTGCGACCAACAGTTATCACCCAACAAATACGGCATTGACCGGTTTAAATGACGTGTAATTGGTAAAAATTCATTTTTTTCTAACAAATTCCCCTCTGTTCACAGGCACTTTTTACAAAATCTGACAACGTACATTTGTCACAAATGTTTTTAATTGTCTGAATTGAAAAGATTTTGTCAATCCATGTAGAAATGCGATTGCAGTATTGGAATTACCATAGCAAAGTAATGCGAATCATTTTGACAGCTGAGCCTTTACGCTCCCTGCATGCTTCTGCCCTCTACTGTCAAAATGGCTGTAACATGCGTCTTGTGGCCTGCCATTACATTACTTTATTATTTCCAATCCTGCAACCGCGTTTCTGCATGGATTAACAAAATCTTTTCAATTCACACAATTAAAAACATTTGTGACAAATGTACGTTGTCAGATTCTGTAAAAAGTGCCTGTGAACAGAGAAAAATTTGTTAGAAAATGAATGTTTACCAATTTCACGTCATTTGAAACAGGCAGTGCCGTTTTTCTTGAGTGTGATCGGTAATCAAACTTCTGAGCAAGCGCTCGCCAAGTTGACTATCCAGGATAATAAATTTGATAATCTAGATATACTAAACGGGAATATATAATATTTCAGGAAGATAATATTTCTGACTATACAGATAATAAATTTGATTATATTTATAGTTTATATTTTCTAACTATCTACTTTGTGACGTAGAGATTAACTGATGAATCAAATTAATATATTAAAATATTCAATTTAAAACATTTGCATCGAATCCCGTCCAAGAAACACTCTGCTACTCGCAAACACCGCTTTCTCAAAAACACAAAATCTCATCGGGGAATTCTTTCAAGACGATGCCGTGATGCAAACTGGTCAACTGAACAACGAACAACCAAACGAACTTTTCAAACACGACCGTTGAGACGCTACCATACAAATATTCTCTTATCTTTGGCACTCTCCTCCGGTCCACAATAAACTCAAACACATTAAAACACCAAATTAATAAACAATAACAATTTATTAATAAAACTCAAAAGCTCGAAATATTAAACAAACTACAAATTAATAAACCAAATTCTCAAACTATAACTCTCGATTCTGACACTCGTCAAAACCGCGTCACGACTTCTCGGAAACCCGCAAGTTAATGTCGAACCATCTGATTGTCCCCAGTAGGCTTTCCCGCTATCAAAATCGTTTCCTTGTTTTTCCTTCGCAATTTTCGGAAGAACCCTTCTTCTTATCCCCACGGAACGGCACCTGAAAGAAACCTGGAAAGGGTCGCTGACCATGTGACGTACGCTGACAATTAATCATGCGCAAAATCATTTAAATTCTGATTTCACGAAAACCACAGCTCCTCACACGCTGATACGAAAGAATATACAAGAGACTTGACAATAAACGAGACAGACCTTTGATAAGAAAGAGACAAACAAACGATTTTCTTAACTCTGAAAATACTTTTCCCACACATTGCAAATTAGGCCGAGTAAGTAACGAAACACTTCGTTACAACTTTTAACTATCCATTTTTCTCCGTATGAGAGAATCGATTATTTTTTGTTACTTATATGGAATAACTAAACAAGGAGCAGAAAATGATAAAGTTAATTTTTATAAATGATAATTAATAAAATTTATAATATCAATAGTATAATTTGAATTTTGTTTATTTCTTGTTTTATATTTCACAAGTCAGGTCGTTTGTAACTCGTGATATAGCATACCCGAAAGTTTGTTTTCCGTCTAACTTTTGAAGCAATTTATGAATATTAATTACATTGATATTTTCTGATTTATTGAATAATTATGAGTAAAATGATATAAACAATGCATGAGTGCTCACAAATTAAAAAATTTTACCTTTTTTTGTCGAAGTGAGCATGTTTTTTAGATTTGCCCATATCTATAGGTGTGGAAATCTTTTTTTCAAGTACTCAAAAGACTTCGAATTTCACGTTTTTTGATTTTACCAACATATAATACCATATTAGATTCGCAATTTTAAATTTCGAGAATGTGACATCAGATTCGTAATAAGCGACCTCAAAAACACCCAAATGAAGAGTTTCAAGCAAATCCGTTAAATTTTTTAAAAATATGTCGCCATATTACATCCGCCATTTTGAATTTCGAAAATCTGACATCAGATTCGTAATTAGCGACCTTAAAAACCCCCGAGTAAAAAGTTTCAAGCGAATCAGTTCAATTTTTTATTTTTGACAGCCGCCATATTGGATCCGCCATTTTGAATTTTGAAAATCCGACATCGATTTTCTAATCAACGATCCCAAAATATTTAGAATCAGATGCTTAAGTTAAAGTACTTTCCAATTATACTTCTCTTCCTTTTTTCAGTTTTTAGGTCGTGGAACCTAAACTTTAAATTGTTGTACCTTAGTGAAAAAAGGCGGATCGGATCGGGTGTAGAATATTTTGAAAGGTGAATAATTGTACTTTCTTTTAAAATTTGTTCCAATGATAAAATAGTATATTAAGCAACAAGAGGATAAAGGCAGCCATTTCTTTACGGTAATTTTTGTGACACGAGTGGAGGTCGAGGGCGAAATAATTATAAATATCAAAATTCTTCTGCAAAAATTCAATTACTTACTAATGTTTTATAAATTTGTTCCCAATAATTCATATATTTTCTTAAAAAATAATTAAAAATTTTTGTTTATAAAGTCTTATATAATATTAGTAAAATATAATGATTGTATCACTATTTGAAATAGGTTTGAATTTGAATCTTTTGAAAAATTTTAATTCCTATGGAAAAATAATAATTAAATATTTATTTAAAAAAGAAATTATTGATGTTTTCGAAAAATTTGAAAGAAATTTGTAAATAAATGTAACAGAACATTTTTTTGACTCAAACTTTTTCCTTTAAATTAAAAATTTTTTTTTAAATTTCTGTCGCATTTTACTAAAAAAAATCTCGAAAAAGTCGATTAGTCGCATTTTTTCACAAAAAAGTCGAAAAAAGTCGAAAAAGTCGCACAATCCGAGCCCTGTAATACAATGTAGCTCTTAAAGTATTAGGTATTATGTGTTTTTACAATAAGCATTTTTGACATATTTTGACAAAATTCAAAATGAATTAATAGAAATGATGGCTAAAGAAGTAATATCCATTATTCAATCTAATGCATTACTCAAAAATTACTGACTGCATTCCAGATATATATCTCATAAAGAACAGCTTTATATCATAATTAGATATTTCTGGGTTACGATAATATAAAGTTAACAGAAAAGGATGCTTTATGTGACTCTGCAAACACTTCAATAAGACCTATAACATTGTTTGGAATTTTTTTTGGGCCACCCTAATTTTCATTGAAAGAAAAATATTTTTACCTACGAAAAATAAAGATGCAAAAAATACAATGGTGCAAATAAAAGTGCTTTAAAAATATAAAATATACATGATTAATTAAAAAGATTATGTAAATGAGAAATAATTATAAATTTGTAAATAAAATAATATTGCAAGTTTAGAACTGACTAGCATACCTTGTTAATCTATATTTGTCAGTAAAACCGGCCAAACGAAGATGGAGATAAAATTGAGATGGAATGACTGATGTTAGTAGACATTCTTCTCTTGTAGATGATTTTTCTACATGAAAAATTATATATAAAACTCATGCTTTTAAATTATATAGTTTTAAAATGTAATATGTAATATGATGTAATTGATCGCTTCAAAAATGTTTACTTTTATTTAAAAAAGAACAATTAAAAAGATTAAATGTTAATTAATTCCACCTTCCATTTAAGTAAATGAATTTTGTCAATTCTAAATTTGTAAACCATCTTTATTATTTATAACAATTTTTATTATTGTTCATTATTATTTATTCATTTTCAATATTGTGAAAAATATCAAAAAACAATTGATTTTTATTTCAATTTGGGATAAGGAGGGTATCCATTCAAAAAATTGGAATTCATATAGTGTTTTATCTCTTTCGATCTCATAGAAGTGATATAAGATTCTGGGGGGGGGGCAAACATCCAAGCTCACAGTATCTTTTATCCTCAAAAAAAGTGAAAAGGGTAATTTTTTTCCTCAAAAAGGGGACAAAAATTTATTTGTTTACAACTTGCATACATAATTCAAATTTTTTATCATATAGTGTCTATAAAATTTTTTAAAAATTATCAATTATTTTCAAAACAATTTTAATTGAATTTCTCAGATAAATTCAAATATTTTTAAATTTAAATTCAAATTTAAATTCACATACTCTTTCTAGGGTTAATCAACTAATTTTAAACATGAATCAATAATTCTTTTTGCACTTTTAAGAATTTTTCTATGCTTTTTTAAATATTTTCTAATTGATAAAAAAGTGACAATTTTCCGCACCTTCTCCACGTTACACTCATATTATTTTAAGAAAAGTAATAAATATTTTAACATAATTCTTTTCATTTCGTTCTCCAGAGTTCATACAGAGTCATTTCTATAAGTATCAATTTTTTTTAAAAATTAGGCCGCAATGACTTAATTCGAAATGTATGTAATAATATAACAAATATCTATTCTCAATATCGTAATAATGTTGACATTAAATTGTAGACACCAACGTTTCGATTAAATAATGATTATAAAGTTTAAAATTCCATTAAATACAAATTATAAAGATGATAATTTAGGGCAGACATGCGCCCTGTTTATATAGCCTTAATAAAATTGAAACTGTCATTTGTCAAAACTAAAGAAAATAAAAACATACTCAAAAATGACTAATTTCAGGTGTAGACATCAGAATCAATGAATGACGGAAGGACTATTATAAGAATTATAAGAAATAATAATAATAATAATAATAATAATCAATGACTATGTGAATTTACGAAAATGAATTAAATTAACAAGTTTTAATAAATAAAATTTAAATACTAGGATAATATAATAAAAATAGAAAACTGCAGAGTGATACAGAGACGGATCGTTTAGAAATCCGAGAATAACCGCAGATAACGGATGAAGCTCATCTGCTTTAAAATTGTTGAAATTTAAAGACTAACTTATTAGAAAAAAAGTGTACTACATACCTTCGTATTCTGCCTTAATCTTCATCGACTGACATTCTTGCAAAGTTGAAATTAAAAGTTCTCTTTCTTCAGATGTAAGTTTAATTGCAAAATCCTTGACTTGAGGTTTCTTTAGAACCCCGACAGTATTTCTGTTAAGAATTAAAGATTCCGGTATGCCATTTTCCTTTATTTTCTCATTTGCAAAAGTTCTGCTCAAATGATTATTGACAGATCCCCAGGAATAACGATTTTTCTGACAGGGTTGCAAAAGACAGATTCTGCCAATTTGATTAATTAAAGGATTGGGCTTGGAAATCGCATGGTACACCACTGCGTTCGAACACATTTTTCTCATCTGTTCTGTGTGCAATGGAAAACAAAAGGCAGTCCTATTTTCTCTAGGTTCGAAATGGAAAACTTGTGATAAATATCTGACTACTCATTATGTTGTTTGGTGGAGAATTGAATCCGAAAATTAGTCGTGCGCGCACTTGTTCGAGTTATGGACGGGAAGGAGAGACGGAAACGAGGTGATTCTCTTCAATCGTTCACAACTGTTTGACAGATTCGCTCTTAGTTCCGTTCATGACATTTCTTTCTCTGCTCTGACGTCACTATATAAATATAATAACCATCACCAACCTTCCCTATATTCTCACACTGTCTCGCACTTCTGATTGGTCATACCGGTATTTAACATGTTTAAAATCTCATATCAATTCTATAAATTCCGATAAATTCACAACTTGAAAATACTGATTGTTGAATTCCTCCCTTCATTGCTTTTATATTTAATTCTCGTATTCTAAAAAAGGGCGGAAAATGGGGAAAATGTTATTATGTTAATTCAATAATAAAAGTGAGGTTAGAATTTAATCTCATTGCATCGAATCGCTATATGTGTCAAAACAACTTTTGCTCCTCTGGGACGTAGTAATTTATTTAGGTATTTTTCTTTTATCTGTGAAATGTATACATTACTACATGGGTTTTATAAATATTTAGTCCAGAAAGATGAATATTTTATAATTATATTAGGTCTGGACAATGCTGGGAAAACTGTAAGTACTGTCAAAATAATACGTATTGTAGGTTATGTTTTAAAATATATTTACAAAATCTGTTTACTCTTTGCATGATAAACGTGTAGACGTACTTAGAAGCAGCAAAGACAAAATTTACGAAGAATTATAAAGGAATGAATCCCAGTAAAATTACAACGACAGTTGGATTAAATATCGGTAAAGTTGACATTGCTGGAGTGAGATTGAATTTTTGGGATCTTGGTGGCCAAGAGGAACTTCAATCTCTTTGGGATAAAGTAAGTAAATTATTATTATTTTTTTAACTACCTATTATAATAATCGTCGTATTCTGTCCAGTCTGTCCACACTTGAAGTTAGACTATTGTGCATGCTTTTGTTTTTTTGATATATTCTGATAGATAATATTATACTTCATTAATTTTTCACTAATTTTTTAATTTAATAATATTTTTATTTCTCAAATAATTCAAAAATATTTGTATTAAGCTAAAAAAATTATTAATGTTATTATATTATTCATTATTTCTTTTATTTCTAAAAAATGAGCATTTTGTAACAAAATTTTTTTTCTCTTTAATCTGGCGTGCTAGAGATTTCGACAAGGTTTTAAATTAAAGCTTAAAACGTGAATTTTAAGAATCAATGCAAAACACAAAAAAAGCAAGGATTTTGGAAAAAGTAGGGTTACAGACTCCAAATAAATTTTTTTCGTTATTTTTGATATCGGAATTGTTTCTAATGTAGTTTTGTCCACTGAACAAGATCCTGGATCCTAAAATTGCCCATCACGTCAGGATTTTAAGAAAAGTGGGGTAAAGACTCCAAAAACGTGTTTTGAGGGTTTTCAGTATTTTTTTCTCTTTAACCTGACGCGCTAGAAATCTCTACATATAGGGTAAACGCGCCAATTACTGCGATTTCTCCAATTACTGGGATTTTTGGGAAAATACTATTATTTACTATTATAGAATAATATAATATTTGAATAAGTTTGAAAAAATTATTTTCGACCTTAATAAAATTCTTTCGTAAAAAGTAATTGGTGTCCCTGAAGAGGGCCGTTTATTCACAATCATCCATTCTTTTAATTCCATACCCGACTATCAAGTTTTAGGACAATTGGATCGATTTTCAAAAAAGTCGTCCGTCATATTGGGCACATTTTGAAGTTTGAAAATCTAACATTGGATTCGTAATTTTTGTCGTGGGTCTTGTAGTGTAGGATTTAAGCTTTAAGGAAAATCCCTCATAAGAAGTGTGCAAAATATGTCAAAATTCAAATTTTTTTTCTCGCTTATTTTATTATAAAAGTTAAAAAGCCTTTTTGCATAATAAAAAGTATAATTTAAAGTATTAAAAACAATAAAAAAAATTATATTTTTTATATTATGTTAGGCTGTAGAGAGCGTCAAAATCGATGCTTTTATTTTGAGGCGTTCCGCGGTTGCAGGTCTAGGGCCGTTCCTAGTGGTCTAAAATAAAAACCCAAAAGAACTTTCACAGTTGAGATACTAATCTAGTGGTTATAACTAAAATTACCTTAAAAAATCAAAATTAAAAAAAATGACACTACTTTTAACAAAAAAAAATTGAAAAATTACCTTTTTTTCTCCACATTTTTCATTAAAAAAAGTATTAAAAAATTTTCTTTTTCAAATTTTTTAGGTATACCCACTAAAGAATATATTTTTTAACAATATGCAAAAAAAAATTAGAAAGAAACATTCATCCGTTTACTCAGAATCCCTGCAACCGATTTAAAAAACAGCGTTTTGAGAAAAACGCAGTTAAAATTTAAGTACAATTTTTTCAGATGTATTGTTAATTGATTTTTATAAGAGCTTACCAAATTTTAATTTGCTATCCTAGGTCAATAAAGTAAGTTATAAGCTTCCTGATAAGCCTTCTCATGTTCGTCGCGAGCCTTTTTATTGTCAAAAACCATACAAAATTGAGTAATTCAATGTATTTGTCAAAAAACATGAACTGATATTTATAATGATATCTCGCAAACCGAATAAGATTTTTTAACGTTTTTGGTCTTAAATTAAAGATAAGACTTAAAGGATCACATCTATATAAGTTTTAAATTTTGTCTATAATTTTTAAAAAAATATGCCAGAGTTTAAAGAATTGTCAAAAAAACTTTAATTTTTTAATTTTCTTTTTCAAATTTATCGATTGTTAAAATCTTTGTGTAATTTCTTAAAATTTCGAATTTTATATTATTTAACATTGAATATTATAAGCTTTCTATAACGGCAGATTTCTCAAGTTTCTTACATTATTTTTTTCAGGAATATCATGATTTAAAGATTGGTATGTTTTTGGGCCATGCGCGTGGAGACACTCTGACGGTAGTGTGATTTACTATAACTTTTGATAGGAGCTGAATTTCGTCATAAAATTTAAAACCTTTATTCTAGAGATATTATTAAGGATTTTAAAAAAGCAAGAAAAAAAAATTCGAAGAAAAATTTTTTTCTCATGAGTAATCCTCCTTAATTTAAGGCTATGTAGAAGTTTCTAGCACGTCAGGTTAATGACAAAAAATACTTAAACCTTCAAAAACACGTTTTTTAGTGTCTTTATATATAATAGATTTAGCGATTTTGTCTGTAAATGTCATAATTCCCGGTTTTTATTAAAAATACCGGCTTTTTCCCGGTGTACAAAATTCCAGGCTAATTCCCGGTTTTCTCGGTCAGTGGCCACCCTGTTTTAATATTCAAATATTATTTAAATATTTGAATAATAAATATTCAAATCTAAAATTTTAACTGAAATTAATTTTTAAATCAATTTTTATTAGAAAATTCTACGAGAATTCAATTATTTAAATGCAAAAATAAATAATTTATTTAATAATTAATTATTTCTTAAAATTAAATTCTTATAAAGAATTTTATCGAAACATTTTTTAATAATATTGATTTCTTTTGACGATTTTTAATAAAATTTTTAAGAACAATTACATTTTTCGATGAATTCGATTAAAATTGTATTAAAAATAATTAAAACTCTGCGATGAGTTTTATTTATGAAAATAATTGAATTCCTAAAAGAAATTTTATTATTTATAAAAATAATTAAATTATTGCGAAGAAATTTATAAAAATATTGTAAATAATAGATTTCTTATTAAATTTTTTAAAAATAATTGACATTTTGACGAGAATATTAAAAAATTCTTGAACATATGTAATTGAATTTCTGCGAAAAATTTTATTACTTTTAAAAATAATTGAATTTCTGCAAAAAATTGTATTACTTTTGAAAATAATTGAATTTATACAATCAGTTATAGTTTTTCCTAAATTCAATTTATTATTGGGAGGCTTAAAAATGAAATTTTGTGCAAAGTTAGCAAAGCATTCAAAATTTTTTTGTTATTTGTAACAGAAATTTGTCGTAACAAAGTGATTGTATCATTCATTAAGTAAAACTGAAGTAACATTTCAAAAAACATTAATTAATTCATTTTTTGAAGGCACAAGTTCTTATAAAATTTGATGCAAAGTTAGCAAAGCAATGATAAATTTTGTAAATTTCAATTTGTAAAGAAATTCATTTTTCTTACTAAACGAAAAAGTAGGCATAATTTTTATTTTATAATCATAATTTTTGCACAAAATTTTGTTTTTTTTTAAATATTTGAATTATTTTTTTGTGATTACACATGCGTGTAGGTACCTGTTTTTATTGTTAATAGGCATTATTATTAATTATCTATTGATACAAGAAGAAACTACACGCGCGCTTCAGCATGCGTTTTTTTTAGCTGTTACCAATAATAATTTTAAAAACATTTTTGTAATTTTTCATAAATTTTTCGAAGAATTTTTTATTGAAATTTTGTAAAGATAATTGAATTTCTTTATAGTAATAATAATAATAATAATAATAATAAATTAAATACTTCGTTTGGCGGGCGTGACATTTGCTACTTATTTATATTATTTATAAAAAAATTTTAAATACAAATTCATAAAATTAAATTATTTTTTAATTTTTAAATAAAAAAATTATTTCAAAATAGTTAATGAAAAATAATTTTTTCTCGATAGTTTTTCAAAAATTAAATTATTTAAAAAAATAAATTTTAAATCTGTAATGTCTAATTATTGTTAAAAACAGGAAGAGTTTGAAATAAATAAAATCTTTTCAATGCTGAAGAATAACATTCTGAATTTTCTGATGAATTCTTGAAATTGAAACACTGTTAACTTAAAAGTATCAAATTGCAAAGAATTGATACCTAAAAATGGATAGAATTCTTCTGAATAATTGAATTTTTGAATGTTAATGACATGAAAATAATATTCATTAATTTTGACTAGAAAACTATTAGAAACAAAATAACAAATAAGTAATTAAATGCAATTTATTTTTGATAATTAATAAGTCAAAAATAATTTAATGAACATTTCCATTTGTGCTAGTCAATAATAATATATGTCATCTTGAATTTCGAGTCGAAATCATTTGTTTTTTTAACCCTTCCGCTGTTTGGAAAAATATTCATATGATTGGCCCAAAATGTCCAGAAAAAATTTAGTGAATATTTTAAGTACTTAAAAATAAAAAATAATTATTTATTTATTACTTAATCTATAGTATCATTGATACCCATAGTGTATGAATAATGATATAAAAGAATTTATTTTATAATTTACATAACAAATTGCATTTATGTTGCACTAAGAAGTTCACGACTCAACATTGGGTCGTTAACAGGCAACGGGTTAATAAAAAAATGTTATGAATAAAGCAAAAAAGTGTGTTTTTCATTATTTTATTCAATTACAAATAATACTGTTTTAAATCACAGCTAAAATTGAACTAAATAATTAAATTTTCTGCAATAATTCAAATCTTATTCAACAAATATTATTTTAGTTACAGTAAAACATATAGGGTCAGTTGGGGTAAATAGAAACAGATTTGCTAAGTTTCACCAATAACATAAGTTTTTTTCTTTTAAATCGGAATACTTTCGGTTTTTTGTGTATTGAGTTATTATTTCACTTCCGTGGAACAATTTTATGGATAAGTATAAAATATGGGTATCATTAAATCACAATCCAGCTTTTAGGGGCATATAGAAACAGTCTTCTATTTTTTATTAAAGTTTGCAAAATGAAAAGTTGTCGTATTAATAAGAGATAATTATAAATTTTAGTATGAATTTTTAGTTTATTTTTTTCCAAATGCGAGTCAAAAAAGTTAAAGGATGTCTTATTTGATTTTCAATTTTTTATGCAATAGGAAATATTTTTGTATATACTGCTGCTAATTGATAAACGGAAAATGGGAAAATACTTAGAACTTGTTAGGGGTGATATAAGCTTCAAGATGTAAGGCCGTATTTATTTTTAAAATTTTTGATTTAACTAAAATAACCACTGTTTCGATTTACCCCATCTGACCCTACTTTTATTAAATTTAAAAAATTGTTACTTTTATTTTGCAATTTCATTTTGCAGTAAAAAATTCAAAATGGTAATTAATTTGTTATTATTTATATTATTAATATAATTTATTGTATGTAAAAAAGGTGCATATTTACATTTTGTATTTAAAGTATTTTAAATGAAATAAATTATATAAGAAAAGTGCTGGTACGCTTTGAAATAGAATGCTTCATATGTATATGTACCAAATTGTTTTCTTAAACTGATTTAAAAAATTAAAAATTCGTTATAACTATTTTGTTATTTTTAGTATTACGCAGAGTCTCATGCAGTCATCTACATAGTAGATTCATCAGATAGAGATAGAATTCCCGATTCTAAAGAAACGTTTGGTAAGACTCAACTGCAGAATAATTATATGATATAAAATTGTAAAAAGAGTTACATTTTTCAATACAAACAAATGATTATTTCAGATAGAGTAATATCATCAGAGCATTTGACTGGGGTTCCTCTCTTAGTGTTAGCGAATAAACAAGACGTACCGGACTGCATGGGTGTCAGAGAAGTGAAACCAATTTTTAATAAGAACGCCCACCTTATTGGACGAAGAGATTGCATGGTGATGCCTGTGTCAGCTCTTAATGGGTACGTATGCATTTTAAAAACTGGACCTTTGTGACCATTCAAGCTACTACTATTCTTGATAAATTTATTTTAAGAATACCTTTCGGTACCGTATCTTTCTATAAAAAAATCGACTAATTTTTTATTGTAAAATTAGTAATTAAAAAAAGCTCCCAGGAATACCTGAGGAATTATACAAAATTTCAGAACGATTGGTCCAGTAGATTTTGAGCTATGGCGCATACGAACATCAAAAATAACAAATTCCAGAAAAATTAACTTCCGGGTATAATTTTTTATGATTTTTGCTTTTCTGTTATATTTCAGTCAACACTCTTTCAAATGGTGTTTCGGAAAATATTGCAAATTTAGAAATAAACAAATTATACGCTGAAAGAATTTTGGGTAGGCTGCAGGCTTTACATGAGTGCCGCTAGATGAGCTCGCTGCCTCAAGCTCGCAGTTAACCTCAAAAAGGCGAGAATCTACTCCCGTAGCAGCTGCTCACCTTTCGGGAGTAGATGCTCGCTTTTTTGAGGTGAGCTGCGAGCCCTGAGCAAGGGGCACTAATTTCGGACATGAAAAGCCAGCAGCCTGCCTAAAATTCTTTCAATGTAGATGATTATTTAATAAAAATAGAGCTGTGCAAAATAATTCGAACCGAACTGTTCGAATTTTTTCGCCTAGTTCGAATGTCGAAAATTCGACATTCGAACTTAGCCCAGTTCGGATGTCGAATATTCGACATTCGAGTTACTGCAAAATTCGAACCGAACCGAGTTGTGTTCGGTACGCTAAAATGTCGAATTCTAAAATTCGACATTTCGGCGCCCCAAAACCGAACAAAACTCGGTTCGGTTCGAATTTTGCACAGCTCTAAATAAAAACCATGAATCTTGAAACCTGGACTATAGGACTCTCAAATATTCGTAACTCCGACAGTTCGATGGGTGTTACGAAAAAAAACACAACCAAGATTTGGGACGAAAAAAAACTCCCAAAGAAAATATAACAAAAAATACAGTTTTCATATTAAATTTTCTGCACAAATAATAGCGTCTTTTCGAATTTTCTCTTTCGTGTTATATTTATTTAAAAATGTAATATAGGGTCAGACCATTATATTTCGAATTAAATCGTTGCACCCTAATTTTAAAAAAAAATTGATACTTTTAGAAATGAATCTGTAAGATCTTTGGAGAACGAAATGAAAAGAATTATGTTGAAATATTTAGTACTTTTCTTAAAATATGAGTTTAAAGTGTAGAAGGTGCGGAAAAATGGCAACTTTTTAGCAATTAGAAATATTTAAAAAAGCAGAGAAAAATTCTTAAAAGTGCAAAAAGAATTATTGATTCATGTTTAAAACTAGTTGATTAGGGTCATTTGGGGTAAATGTAAACAGTAGATGTTTCAGCTAAATTTACAAATTTAAAAATAAGTACGACGTCAATATTTTTACCTCAGCTCACCTACAAGATGTTCTGAGTATTGCCAATATTTTATTTTGTCAATTGGCAATGCCATAGTGTAAGTTATCTTTTAACGGGGTCACCCCGTGTGGCAGACGTTTTTTAAGAGTTTTTTTTTGGGATTTTCTTTTTAAGAACCATGAAAACTTAGGACTTCAAAATTTTTACCATATATTCAGTTCCATTTTAACAACAAATTAAAATGTTTGCAAGTAAAAATATTTTACTGATTCCGAATTATAAAACTGGAAAGTGATGATGATCATAAAAATGCCGTCTATCGGCGTCCACGATACTGACTAATTGACTAAACTAAAATCGAAAAATCAAAAGGCATCTTAATCTGTGAGGATGTGGCTATCGCCGGAACTAGCATTATTTGAAAATATTAAAAATTGAATTTTTTACGCGGCTTTGAAATTTTTTTTTCAAAAAAATGTGATTTTTTTGGTCAATTTTGTTGTATAAAAAAGAAACAAGTTGACCTTTTTCAATTATCCTAGTTCGGGCGATAGCCACATATGTGCTGAACACGCCCTATAAATTTGTGCGATATTGGTCAAGCCGTTTTCGAGATATCATGGAGGCCAGTTTGAAAAACACAGTTTTGAGAAAAACGCCTGTCAAAGTTTAAGTAATACATTATTCGCTTGGCAACTCCTTGTCTTCTAAGTGCTGTAACTTTCTTAGGATGTCAAAAATAAAAAATTCTGTTTACCTACATATTCTACACATATTGTAGATGTGATTTATGAAAAAAAAAGTTTCCGATTTTTTGAACCCATCACACGGGGTGACCCCCTTAATGCAAAAAAGATTGAAAATCAAATTTTTACTGTTTCAGTATTTTGTCTCGCATTTGCATAAAAATAAATTAAAAAATCAAACTAAAATTTGTAATTCTTCTTTATTGAAGCCTTAACAAAAATTGACTTTGATTTTTGATTTTCGTCAATTTAGTTAATAAATAATTGTTGAAATAAACATTTAAATTTTTAGTTACTTTTACAATTAAACGTTTGTTACTAGGTAGGTTGAGTTGGTAGTCATGCTTATACTAGAATCAGTTTAGGTTAGTTAGTTCTCTCTCGACTATTGCACGCTTATGGTGTAAATTTCCATTATTGTAAACTCTCGTTTTTACTTATTAAATAAAACTATATCATATTGAGAATTCCTAGTCTCTGTTTTATTCTCAACAATAATTAAGTGTTTACATTTACCCCGACAATTCGAAAACTCGGGGTAAATGTAAACAGAACTTCAACTACATTTTAAAAGAAAATAATTGAATAAATTTGCTTTTATTTCACAATTTCATTAATTTGGCAATGTAAAATTACATAGAAAAGGAAATTAGGTCTTCTTTCATACCTCCTTCGTGTTAGTCAGTTGCAGGTATAGACCTGCATAGTATTGCATAGTTTATGTTTGACCGCCATATTGGATCCACCATTTTGAAATTTAAAAATTCGATTTTAGATTCTTATTCAGCAAAATAAAAAAAAACTTCTTTTTACCAAGTTGAATGAAAATCTATTAAAATTTGTTCAAGTTATTCAAGTTTTTACATTACTAATTTTGTAATGGTTGATTGTTTATTTTATATGATACATTATCAGTCAACTGGTTGATTTACTATACATCTACGAAGAATTTTTTTTCAGGTTTTCCATCCCTTAGAACAGTAGTATACTTGAAATAACTTGTTTCTTAAACCTCGCTTAACTACAGTGGTGTTTACATTTACCCCGAATTTTAGGAAAATTTCAAAATCTCGGGGTAAATGTAAACAGTCAGTTTTAGGCGATTCCGGTGCATCAATATTTTTTTGTACCTCATCAAATTTTTCTAGGGAAGTAAAGTAACAAGTTCATGCAAAAGAAATCCGTCCGTTTTACATTTTAACAAAAAGAACTAATGTTTTTCGTGAAAAATAGATATCCCATTTACATTTACCCCAAATGACCCTAATTATTTTTTAATAATAAAACTAGTGAAGGCTGATTCTATTTCAATTCATGTAGGACGAATTTTTTAGGTCAAATAAATCGACACGTATTTTTTTATTTAGCGAAAAAAATTTTTTTAGCTGAGTTATGAGTGTTCGAAAATTTTAGGACATATCGTGATTTTAGAGCTAAACAGCTGACAAATTATTTTCAAATCTTTCTAGTTTTTGAAAAAATAAATATTTTTCAATTTTTTTTCTTGATTTTAGTAGTGTTTTTAATACTTTTTCTTTGCAAACTTGAAAATTTGAAAAATTTTGAAAATTAACAAAATGGCGGCCATTTTTCGATAAATAAAAAAAGTAAATTTTCACAAAAAAATTCTTTTTTATTTTTCTAAAAATTTTTGTGTGATTACTAGATGAAAAAAGGAATTAATTTTAAAAGGTTTCATGTCCGCTAAAACTGTTTGGAAGTCGCAATAATTTTTTTCAGAAAATAACCAATCTCATTATTTTCTCTCTAAATCTGAATCAGTAAAATCTGACTGAGAATTAGTGACTCTCCCAGTAAAAAAAAACTAATTCAAATGAATTGAAACGAATTAACATTTTTGGTAGGCTCCAATTCGTATTTGTCACAAAGCGGGATTCACTCAAGCTCTTTGTATATTCAATTGAATTTAATTCAATATGTACCAATTTGTCCAAACGAATTCGCATTCGAAAGAAATGGCCAAGGAATGCATTGAATTTGTGCTAACGAATTGAAAAAAATTAAAGGCTCAAAACTTGTCCAGTGAATTGGTACGGATAGAAGGTTCGGAAGTTCAATACAGTTTCACGAATTCAGGAAAATTGCATCATGGCTCCAATTCGTATTTGTCACAAAGCGGGATTCACGAAAGCTCTTTGTGAATTCTTTTTAATTCATTTCAATTAGTTTTCGTTTACTGGGCTATTCTCGCGATTTGAATCAGTGGAATTTCACTGAAAATCAGTTAAAAATAACTGAAATTTCTGTTATTTTTAACTGATTCGCCAATTAATAAACCACTGAAAATTTCTGTCACACATATTGAAAATTTCAGTTATTCTTTAATTGGCCAATCAGTGAAAAATGACAGAAATTTCAATCATTTTTAACTGATCTTCAGTGAAATTTCACTGATTCAAATCGCGAGAATAGACAATAGAGTCAGTGATTCTCAGTCAAATTTCACTGATTCAGTTTTAGAGAGTTGATTCGAGTATAAATGTATCGGCATATATATATATATTTATTGCATGTTTATATGTTTTTCGATTATTAGTAGTGTTTTTGGTACTTTTTATTTGCAAACTTAAAAATTTTAAAAATTAACAAAATGGCGACCGTTAAATTTTTTTGGTCGCCATTTTGAATTATAAAATTTTAACCAAATATTCTAACTCAGCGACCCCAAAAACCTCCAAATGAATATTTTTATTCAATTATTTTTAGTATTTTTAGTTTTCGATTTTTTGAAAAATGGCCGCCATTTTGTTAATTTTCAAAATTTTCAAGTTTGCAAATAAAAAGTAGGTACCAAAAACACTACTAATCATCGAAAAACATAAACATGCAAAATATATATATATGCCGATACATTAACTCAAAATAATGAGATTTGTTATTTTCTGAAAAAAATTATAGCGACTTCCAAACAGTTTTAGCTGACATGAAACCTTTTGGAAAACGTTCCTTTTTTCATCTAGTAATCACACAAAAATTTTAAGAAAAATAAAAAATGATGTTTTGAGATAATTGACTTTTTTGATTTATCAAAAAATGGCCGCCATTTTGTTAATTTTCAAAATTTTTCAAATTTTCAAGTTTGCAAAGAAAAAGTATCAAATATCAAAAACACTACTAAAATCAAGAAAACAAGTTGTTCATTTCATAATCATTAAGCTTCCTCAATATAATATGTACCAATTGTTTAAATTTTTATTTTAGAATAATTATTTTAAAGTGTTAAGATAAAATGTCAAAAAATACAAAATTTCAATTTTTTGTGAAAAATTAAAATATTTATTAATTCTATAAATTTTGATAAAATATACACTTTATATACATGAATCGATTCGTTTTTATGTCAGGAATGCAATTTTGACAAGAATTAATAAAAATTTTAATATAGAAAAAAGTTATTTCAAAAAATCCAAAAATTAATTTTTTAATAAAGAGAAAATTTGTCCACAAGAATCGGTGACATACACACACACACACACACACATACATACGAATTGCCTAGGCAATTCGGGTTTTGCCTATGATTTTAGGAAATACCCGAATTTCCTAGAGATTTATAGGCCAAACCCGAATTGCCTAGGCAAAACCCGATTTCCCTAGGCAATTCGGGTTTGGCCAAGGCCGTTTTAGGCAAATTGAAAATCAAACTATAAATTGAATTAAATTAAATTAAATTTATTGCAAAAATATTACTATGACGCAATTGATCATAAGAAAATAGTCTTAGCTAAAAGAATTTCTTTTTCAATTTACCAAATGGCTTGTATTGAGTCATGCATTGATGTAAACAAATAGTAAACGAACTGTTCTTCACAGCTCACTATTAATTAGTGTCTTTTTTGACTTTAAATTGTACTTACCATTCGAAATGAGTAACGAAAATTTTATTAAAAAATAGAAAAGCGATTTTTATGCGGCGGTTAATTTTTTTTAAATCAATTTTGTAACTCCCGCAACTTCTAAAATGTCATATCTTTTCAACCTTCTGTACTTAAGGCTACTTTTTACTCCATTTAATTTTCCACTTTTCACATCCTTTAAAATCTCATCATATTTCTCTTGCACAATTATTTTATAATTTGCAGATTTATTAACCGCCGCATAAAAATCGCTTTTCCATTTTTGAATAAAATTTTCGTTACTCATTTCGAATGGTATGTACAATTTAAAGCCAGAAGAGACACTAATTAATAGTGAGCTATGAAGAACAGTTCGTTTACTATTTGTTTACATCAATGCATGACTTAATACAAGCCATTTGGTAAATTGAAAAAGAAATTCTTTTAACTAAGACTATTTTCTTATGATCAATTGCGTTATAGTAATATTTTTTGCAATAAATTTAATTTAATTTAATTCAATTTAGTTTGATTTTCAATTTGCCTAAAACGGCCTTGGCAAAACACGAATTGACTAGGGAAATCGGGTTTTACCTAGGCAATTCGGGTTTGGCCTATGAATCTCTAGGAAATTCGGGTATTTCCTAAAATCATAGGCAAATCCCGAATTGCCTAGGCAATTCGGGTTTTGCCTGGACTTCGGGTTTTGCCGGTAACATATATACTACACTTGAAAATTTGTAAAAATAATTGATTCTAAAAAATTCGGAAATCGACATCACTATAAGGCTTCCTTTATAAGGAAGCAAAAAATTGAAAAATATTTATTTTTGCAAAAACTAGAAAGATTTGAAAATAATTTGTCAGCTGTTTACGTGTATAATAAACACATAAGGAAGTTTGCATTTTACGTGTTTTCAATAGAATTCAGTAAATTTTAAATTTGCTTGTACACTTCACGAATTTTGACTCTACTTCTGTAAAAAAAATTATTTTAACCAAATCTAATGTTTGATGTTCAATTTTGATTTTTAATTATTTACATATTTCTATGGAAATAAAGACTTTTTTAAAGAGGAACAATTTTTATTTAAGAAATTTTTAAATATCTAAAGTAGGTATTTATTGAAAAAAATGATGTTTTTCTTTAAAAAAATTTTTTAAAAATTGTTTTCTCTTGAACCAGACTTGGTCACAACCTAAATTCTTATGGAAAATATTCTTCCCTATGAACCCAATTCCCAAAAAAAATTTTAAGCAAAAAAAGCATGGTTTTTGAGTAAATTCAATTTAAAGTTTTTAAGAAAAATGGCCGCCATTTTGTTATTTTTAAATATTTTTTAAATTTTCCAACGGATTTGAAAAGACAAACAAAAACCCTTTTAGATGCAAAAAGACAAAATAAATTATTCTAATTACTTCAAAAGTTACAACACTTTAAACATTTCCCTCCTAATTTTTCAAGAGCATTAAAAAAGTATCATTTACACAATTTGGGTATTTAGTGTCAATTTAATTGAAATTGTCCAAATAACAATTTGAATTTATGGGAGAATAATTTAGTAGATACACAGAAGCACGTATAGATAGGTGTAATTAAAAAATTTGAATGTTTAAAAAACCTCAATATTATACCCGTCTAAGCCGTGCACAACTGCTGATAATATATACAGTACCGTCCGCAATTGTCAGTCCACCCATTTTTAAAGGAATGACAAAAATTTTTTAACATAAAATTCATGAAAACAAAAATTTTTTTTGGTTTATATTTTGAAAGACGATAAGATTTTGAAAAGAATAAGACCTTACAGAAGTCATTTGGCCAAAATTTGTAGGAGATATTCCTAAAAATCGTCATTTTCAATGTTTTACAAAAATTTAAATAACTTCTAAAATAATGAACGCTTTTTAATAATCTTAGGATTATTTTAAAGGTCTTTTTCTACGGAATAAGAATTACTTATAGGCATTAACCTGTCATTTTTAACTTGGAATAAGCATGACGTCAAAATTAGACAAAAAAATTGGAAAAATTTGAAATCAATTTTTTGTACTAAAAACTATTCTAGAACATATATAAAACATGATATGGTGTAGATTTTTCAAGAAAATTTAATAAAAATATATGTTTGAATTTCAAAAATTATTTTTCTTTTAATAATATTATTTCAAATTTTTTGAATTTTTTTGTCCAACTTTGACGTCATGCTTATTCCAAGTTAAAAATTACAGGTTAATGCCTATAAGTAATTCTTATTCTGTAGAAAATGGTCTTTAAAATAAGGCTAAGATTATTAAAAAGCGTTCATTATTTTAGAAGTTATTCAAATTTTTGTAAAACATTGAAAATGACGATTTTTAAGAATATCTTCTACAAATTTTGGCCAAATGACTTCTGTAAGGTCTTATTCTTTTCAAAATTTTATCGTCTTTCAAAATATAAACCAAAAAAAATTTTACTTTTCATGAATTTTATGTTAAAAAATTTTTGTCATTCCTTTGAAAATGGGTGGACTGACAATTTCGGACGGTACTGTATATAAATAATTCTATCACTCAGCCGATAAAATAATAAAACACTGACATTAATGTTTTATTAATAATATTAATTAATAATTCTTTTTTTAATTTAAAACAGGGAAGGAGTTGACGAAGGTATCCATTGGTTGGTTGATTGTGTGAAACGTAACAGTGACCTACGACCTCCTCGAAATCAAAATGACAACAGCTTAACGTAATTAGTTTTTAAGGTTGTTTTCATTTTCAGTACTTACAAAGTTAAGTAACTAATAATAACAACAACAACAACAACAAAAAACTCAATTCCATAATATTGTAAAATCATTTCGACAGTCTTTTAACCATTTTTTGTTAATCTTGAACTCTGTGTATCATTTTATTGAAAATCTTTCCGATTATATTTGATTTAAGTATTAAATATTTTTTTATCCAAATACTTTGAAAGAAGTCTACGTTAATCGCCGCTTTAATCAACTAGATACTATCTGTGATAAGATAAGAGAAATACCTTATTTCCCGCAGTACGCTATCTACATTCAGTGTCAAAAATCCGGCTTCGTGGCCCCTCACGCAAGGTTTCTATTGTCTCCAACGTTTTCTGTTTATACGTTACGTTTTAATTAATTAGTAAAATTATTCGACTATGTGGTCTTATTATGATGCAGAAGAGTGGAGTGTTTTACCGCCTGAACTCAACAGAAGGTAAATTGAATTTGCATCTGAAAATTATTATTATAGTGTAAGTTGAAAACGTGTAAAATATTAATGTCTCAGAGTCAAAGATTTTTTATAACTATAATAAGAATATGTATTTATTGACAATAAAAATTTATTATTACTATATATAAATATATAATTTTACTTCCAAGTAATGAATCTATATTATCAGCTTGGTATGACATTAATATTTATGTAGAAAACGAACACTTTTTTAAATTTTGTGAATTAATTTGGTTCGTGGTGTATGTATTTAAAGAAATTTTTTGTATAAAAAGCTTTTTCTTAATTTCAATTAGTAAAAAAAAATTACCGACATAAATTCAAATTAATTTCACTCAAGTTTATTGTTTTTCTTTTTTTTAAAAAAAGGCCCAACTCATTTAGGCTTAATTAGGGTCTTTTAAACATTATTAAGAAAATTGGATAGGAGGGGAAATATAATTTTTTTAAGATTTACGCATTTGTATGTAATATTAGTCATATTAAAATGTCCGTCTATTAAAATCTCTCTTCTTTTAAGAGATTTTTGTATAAAGAACAAAATTTGACTCAATTTTAAATTTTAACAACATTATGTAGAAAATAAGTTTTAAATGAAATATTAATTTTTAAATATAAAACTTAATAATAATAATGATTGTAGCATTAATTATCCAACATTGTTGTCAGAGATTAACTTATTTGTTCATGTCAGATTAACGCAAAATTAGAAATAAGATTATGATAAATCATCCAATTTTATTTTTAGTTTTTTTGAAATAACTAAATATTTATTTTTATCAAATATTCAATTATTTATCATAATTAATTATTTTACTTGAGACTAATATCCCTTTAATTGCGTCAGATAATTAATTATTATTTAGTCCAAATACAAAATTTATTTGCATCAAAACAAAGCAGTTATGGATTCAAATAAATCTCAATTTGTATTAAAGAAATGAATCTTTTTATTTTTATTAAATAATTTAGTTTACTTGAAGCTATAAAATGAATTAATTGCGCCAAATAATGTTTATTAATATCGAATATCCAATTGAGTGAAATAAATAAATTAAATGTTTCAAATAACTCATTATTTTAGTGTCAATAAGTTATTTATTTGATCCAAATATAATTTATTTGTTTCTATTAAATAATATATTTGCATTAAATAATGCCTTATTTAAATTAAATAATTTTGTTTACTTGAAGCAATAAAATTAATTAATTGTGTCAAATAATGTTTATTTATATCAAATATCCAATTAGTTGAGTGAAATAAATAAATAAATTTTTTCAAATAAATCATTATTTGTATTAAATAAATTTATTTATTAGAGTCAATTAATTATTTTGCTAACCCAACTACATAAGATATAAATAAATGTGATTCAAATAATTTAAATTAATTGAAAATCAACTGATTTTTTTTCAGTGTAGTACATAATGTTAAATATTATTCATAATTTTATGTACCTAACATATCTAGATCTTTTTATAAAATCTGTCTTCTACACTGAGAGACCTTTGGGACTGAAAAGGTTTTTTCATTGTAAAAGAGACAATTTTTTTAAATTTTTGCTGTATTTATAAATATGAAAATTGTTTGTTTAAAGTCATAAAATTTAATCATTTCAATTAATTAAATTATCTAAAATTATTCCTTATAATTAAAGACTAAGAACAGGTTGGTCACAAGTATCAGTTTATCAATTTCCATAACAATTAACTGACATTAAAATTACTTTCCCTGACAAAATTCTTTTTACAGGAAAATATGCGAATGTTTACGGAAAATGAGTAAAATTTATAAATTTATTTATATCCTTCCTGAATTCAATTATTTTTTATAACTTTCAACTAAATTTTATCTCTGAATAAATTAATTTAAATAATTTTCCAAAAGTTCTTCTACAATTCAATTATTTAAATACAAAAACTCAATTTTTATAATATAATAATTGTAACTCTCCATAGTTTTTTATTAAGTTATTAAGGTATAATATTTTCAAAAAATTCTAAAGAAATTCTAATTAATTTTTTAAAAATATTTTTAAATAATTTTTGAAAGATATAATAGCTTTTCAATTTTGAAAAATTTCCAAATAATTAAAATTTGATAAAATCTTTTAAAAATAATTGGATTTTTGAAAAATATAAATAAAAAATTATCAAATTTTTGAAGAATTTTAATTATAAACAATAAACAGGACCATGATTTTTCAAAAATTTTAATAAGTCCAAAAAGTAAATTTTCATAAATTTTTATTTACATTGTTCCAAGATAATTGAATCTTAGAAAATTATTATAAAACAATTCTAATGATTAGTTTTTAAAAATATTTTAATGTAATTTTTTGAAAATAATTGAATTTTTTAAAATAATTTTTGTATGTATAATTTTAAAAAACTAATTAATTTTTTGATGAATTTTATTTAAAAATTTTGAACATAATTGTTTTCTCCAAAATGTTATAAATAATTCTAAAATGTTATTATTTTTGTATGTATTTGAATTTTTTGAAATATGTAATTGAAAAGTATTTTATTATTACTTTTCAAAAGAATTGAATTCTTGTGATGAATTTTGATATTTATGAAAATAATACTGAATTTTGGAAAAGAATTTTATTAAAATTCCTAAAAATAATTGAATTTTTGTGGAGAATTTTGTTATTTATCAATAGATAATTGCGTTAAAACTTTTGAAATAATTAAATAATATTAAAAAATTCATTCTCGTCAGAAATAGAAAAAAATTTTGAAGGTTTTTTATTAGAATTCGTGGTAATTTAATAGTTTATGAGGCAAAAAAAAAAAAAATTCAGAATTTTCTTATGAATTCTAAAAATTTAATTTTTTCCAGTGCTTTTAATAAAAATCCCTGACTTTTTCCTGTTTTCCCTGACCAATTTTGGCAACCCTGTTGAAAATAAGTCGAAAAAAGTTTCAATTTTTCTTAAAATTTCCCTGACAAAAAATTTTTTTCCTGACATTTCCCTGACTTTCTTGATTTGTGGCCAGCACCCAGAAGAAAGAATTTTATTTATAGAAACTAAAATTTCTTAATTGGACAATTTTGATTATAGTTAGTAATAAAATTACCCCCACAGCACCGAAATTTTTCTAAAAATTTATCAAATATTTACTTGCAATATTTAGCATACTTAACTGAAAAGTTTAGTGAAAATTGTGTAAAGAGTTAAATGTCCCGATTAAATAAATGTTTAGTGTGAAACTTTCCTGAACATCTAAATTATATTTTCGCCTAATTAACTATATTAATTTGAATGTTCTTTCATTATCTTTCATTCACATTTTCTGTCCCTCACACTCTGAAGTTGTCTTTTATTCATACTTTTGTTTTTTGGTATCTTTAGATAGATTGTATATTATGTTTTCTAAAATTTTAATAAATCCTTCGAAAAAATTCAATTATTTTTATAAATAATAAAATTCTTCACAAGAATTAAATTATTTTTAATCAAATTTCAATAAAATTACATGAAAGAATTTAATTATTTTCAAAAATTTCCATAATAAAATGCAATTTCAACAAGAATTTAAAATTATCTAAAAATAATTCAATTATTCTCAAAATATTTTTAAAAAATTCTATATAAAAATTAAATTACTTTCAATGCAATTTTTAAATATATTCGTCAAAAAGATTGAAAGAATTCAATTATTTTCAAAAAAGTAATAAAATTCTTGTGATGAATTCAATGATTTTGAATAATACATAATTTTAATAAAATTCTTTAAAGAAATTCCATTATTTTCGAAACAACTTTAATTGAATTTCTCGAAATAATTTAATTATTTTAAAATATTTCTATAAAATTTTTCATAACAATTTAATTATTTCTAAAAATTTTTAAAAATTCTCGCGAAACATTTTAATTATTTTTTATAAATAGTAAAATCTTTACAAACAATATTCAATTATTTTTTTCAATAGTAAAATCTTTACAAAAATCCAATGATTTTTAAAACAATTTTAATTGAATTCCTCGGATGAATTCAAACATTTTTAAATATTCCCATAAATTTCAATTATGTCCAAAAATTTTAATAAATTCTTCGAAACAATTTTTATAAATATTAGTAAAATTCTCCGCAAGAATTCAATTACTTTCAATTCACTTTTAATAAAATTCTTCTTCATCAATATATTAATTTTAAAATTGAAAATATTTGAAAAGAAAAATTATAAAAAAGTTAATAATAATGCAATTTATTTTTCATTATTTTCGTTTATGAATCACAATTTTTTAACAAAATTATTATTTTGTTTTAGAAAAAGAAGAAAAATATTTGCAAAATTCCTATTTTTTTTAATCTTATTTTTGGAACAGGATTTCCAACAGGAATTAAGACATTCAAAAATTTCAAATTCAAGCCTTTTTTAAATTAAACAATTTATAAAAGTGCTCCGAGTCGAAGACTCGTAGTGATCGATTTCTTCATGTTTTATAATAATTAAAGATGACCAAGTAATAAAATCATTATTTTATATTATTATAAGAATATTGTTACTGTATAACTTTATCAAAGTTATTTTCATCATTTTAATTGAATTATTATTTTCTAGAATTTTAAATTATTTTTTATGAAAATAATTGAATTCCTTAAAAAAAATTTATTATTTATAAAAATAATAATTGAATTCCTGTGAAATTTTTATTATTTATGAAAATAATTAAATGTTTGCATACAATTTTATTAAAATTTTTTTTAAATAATTGAATTTTTTTTGGGAAATTTTATTAAAATAGTAGATATTGAAAATCATTGAAATTAGAAAAATGCATTTTATTTTTGAAAATAATTGAAATTAGGACAAGAATTTTTTTGAGATTTAGGAAAATAATTAAACTTTGGAGAAGAATTTTGTTATTTATAAAGATAATTGGGATTTTTATAAAAATTTTTTCAAATTTTGTACATAGTTGAATTCTATAAGGGAGGGTGGTCCCATACCGACCCCTCGTACATTTTTAGCCTTTGCACTTTAGGGGGTCGGTATGGGATCACCCTCCCCTAAGGGGCCGTACACATAATACGTCACGCGGCTAGGGGGAGGGAGGGGGTCTGAAAATTGTGACTAAGTGTGACATGGGGGAGGGGGGGTAACTCATGTGTTACGTCACAATCTTTTAAATTTAAAGATTATAAGAAATTATATGTGACAATGTCAATTTTTTAAATAAAATAAGTGAAAAATGCTTTAAACTATTTAATATCTATTATGTACCTGTTTAACATCTATTGGTATATTATTTATAATATGATAAATAATATATTCTCTTAATTTGAATGAGTTAAAAATCATGGTTTTAACTGACAATCAGCAGTGACTGACTTTTTGCTTCTGAATCCGTTAAAAATAACTGAAAACTTATCCACAAAACACCGAAACTTTTCTAAATATGTATATTAAAGATTTGCTTGCATACTTCGAGAAATTTACTTGCAAAGTTTAGTTAAAATTGTGTAAAGATTTAAATTTCTTACTCCAATAAATGTTTATTGTCAAATTTTCTTAAAAATATATAGCTTGAAACTTTCCTGAACATTTGAATTACATATTTTCGTCTATACTTTCGTGAAAATTTTCCTGAAAATTTAAGTTAAATTTTCAGGAAAGTTTCGCGCTAAGCATTTATTGAAGTGGCATGGGATATTTAAATCTTTACACAATTTTCACTAAACTTTGCATTTAAATATTTCGAAGCTTGCGACTAAATCTTTAATAAATTTAATATTTAGTATTAATCTTTAACAATTTTTTAGGAAAGTTTCCGTGCTATGTAGGTAGTTAAACGTGACTAATTGAATCAATCAAAATCAATTGTATTGAAACATCAGTTATTTATAACAAATGGTCAGAAAAAAAATATTACTATTTGAATTAGTGACTGACTTCTTGCTTCTAAATCATTTATTTTTAACTGATTCAATAATTTAGAGTGTAGGATATAATATATAATGTCCAATGTATAAAATTTACAGTGAAATTTACTTGTGTGACGTGACGTTGTAGGGGGAGGGGGGTTCAAGGTTTGTGACGAAGTGTGACATAGGGGGAGGGAGTGGTTAAAAATGGTCAAAAATCGCGTGACGTATTATGTGTACGGCCCCTAAGAAGAATTTTATTTTCTTTTTTGAAAATAGTTGAATTTCTTCAATTATTTGTAATTTCTCCAAAATTGATTTTTTTAGTGTTTTCAACAAAAATTTAAATTAGAAAGTTTTTAAATTCTATTATTTTTAAAATTGCTAATTTTATTTTAAAAAGGGGAATTGTTGCTATAGTTATAATTGTAATTAGGCGAATAGAAGATTTCATTGAAATGTTCAGGAAAGTTTCGCGCTGAACATTTATTTAATCGGGACAGTTAAATCTTTACATAACTTTCAATAAACATTGCAATTAAATATTCCGAATATTGCAAGTAAATATTTAATAAATGTGTGGGTAAATTGAGAAAATATTTTATTTTTATAAAAAAAATTTGAAATACAAATTTTTAAATTCCATAATTTTTAAAATTGTTAATTTTATATATAATAACCCATAATTAGCCTTCTAGAACCATTAAGTACAGGTTGTGTTAATTTTTTCTAAAAAAAAACACAAAAATTATGTAAGTCATCTTGGTTATGTCAAAAAGTTTTTAAATTGAAAATTCGTTGTTAATAAATTTTTTTTTCTTAAATTTAACAGTGACAGGTCGATTTGTGCGGCCTTTAAATTATATTAAATTTATGTTTATCTGGATTTTTTTGAAAAATGAATTTTTATCAGCTTTTGAAAACTTGCTCCTCAATTGAATGAATTGAATTTTGCTTCTATGAAACATGGTTGCCACTATGTGAGTCAATGTAATTCCCATTTCAAGAAGTAATTTTGGTAATTTTATAATGTTGAAAAATTTAAATAGTTAAATTGTTTAACACAAGTAGAGATAGTGAAGAAAAAAGGAAAAAATGAGAGAAAATGAACAAGAATAGAAGGATCCGGGGTGGAATTGTAATTATGAACGATTGAGTGACAGCCATTGCCGCCATCTTGGTTTTGGTGAGCAATAAAAGGAGGTGTGCAGTGTGGTGCAGTGAGACGAGTGTTGTGTCCAACTTGCTGTTGCATGTAAACGCTAATTATGAACTTGAATATGTCAAATTCATTGTGGTTCTGAGAGCGAAAGGGTAAAAGTCGAAAAAGTGTTGGTGAAAGAAAAAATTTCACACTACAAAATTAGGCAATATTTATTCAAGTAGGTGAGGGTGCCTTACTCGACTTTTCGCTATTACAAGGAAGGCGAGGCTGCAATCCAACTGAGTCCCGTATTTGTTATATAGAACTGTGAGTAAGGTGGGTGAAATGGCAGCTACCTGTTTTCCGATTCATTTCTAGTCATGTTATCTAAAGACGATCGCCATTCAATTTCTTGAATGGCCACTTGAAAATGTCTCGCACACTTTTCATGTGACTTGTAAACGTGGTTCAATCTTTCTGACAGATGAAACCAATACTTTTCTCTTATCGCTGCTGCTAACCAAATTTCAATTCCAATTTATATAACCTGTGTGTTGAAGATATTTTTCATAATTATTAGCGATGTTTACATTTTTATCATGTTCCACTTTTGATAAAAGTTTTTTTTTCTCCTTACGTTAAGTACTTGTTGCTTGCTTCAAGAATGATAAAAGAAACTTTCTTTTATAATTCTTGTTTAAGTCTCTTTTTTCTTTCTATTTTCTGTTTTTTTTTTAAATATATATTTTTAAAGGGTATTTTTAGCTTCTGCAGATTAATTTTTCATTCCTTTCACTTTTAACCCTCCTAGTTTATATGCTCACCAATTTTACTTTGTTGACAGGAAATCTTTTTTCCTTATTTTTTTTAAACTTTAAAAAATCTCTTCCGTATGGTAAGTTTATCATTTACTTATTGTGGATGCATAAATTACATTATACATACTAAGAATATTGAAAATTTTATTACTAATATTCGTACTATTTGAAAGAGTGTCAATATTTTGAAATTAAAAATACATTAAACCTATTTGACTAAATTACTAATAAAGTTACAAGTTATTTATTTCATTATATTATATTTCAGTGCAATAAGTTGCAATATTAAAAACAATAAGCGAATGTTTTAATTTTCATGTAAACCTAACCTATTTTTTAACGTTTTACTATTAGTATTTTAATATTTAATTCACAACAATCATTACACAGTAATTAAATTGAAAATTGTTTTTAAAAATTACATATTTATTTTTGCAAATGGTAGTATCAAAACATAACCGCATATTAGAAATTTATTCTTGTTGAAATTATCGAAATTATTAACATTGATATTATTTTTCAGTGTAAATATATCTCAAGATGCCTTACGTTGAAAACGGGCGAAATTCGACCATTTCCACCGTTGGAAACGAGAAATTTGCAAAATAAGAAACTGGCAAAATAAAAAAAACTAGATTAATCCGCCCGTCTGTGAAATTATGACACGATTTATAGAATAATGGATTAATTAAGAGAACTAAATTATTTCATCGTATAAATAATTAATTATAACCTCCAATTCATTACAATTTACAAAGGTGGGAATTAAATCGGAAATTTTTTAAAAATTAACTTTTCTAAGTAAAGTATAAATTTCAAATGAAAGTCTCGGCGATAGCTTCCATTTATATTTTAGAATAATATCAATTACAATCTAAAATTTTAACTAAAATTTATTTTTAAATAAATTTTCATTAGAAAATTCTACGAGAATTAATTAATTATTATTATTAACTATATTAATTTTAATGTTTTTTCATTCTTTCATTCACTTTTTCTGTCCCTCACACTCTGAAGTTGTCTTTTGTTTATACTTTTGTTTTTGTTAACTTTAGATAGAAAATAGAAATCATCAGAATTTTTTTTACTTCTTTTCATTAAAAGACTAAAATTTTGTTAAATATTATGTTTTGTCAAATTGTAACTATTTTTGTTCTTTACTTCTAAAAAAATTAGAAAATTATTAAATAACTGTGATTAAGAAATAGAAAATTTATTTATTTTCCATTATTTTCTTTTTGAAATTTTTTTAAGAAAATTATTATTTTGTTTTAGAAAAAGAAGAAAAATATTTGCACAATTTATATTTTAATCTTATCTGTGGAACAGAATTTTCCACAGGAATTAAGACATTCAAAAATTCAAAATTCAAGCCTTTTTTAAAATAAACAACTTATAAAAGTATTGTTTATAAAACATGAAGATATCAATTGAGGGGACGGCTTCTAAAAGGGGATACGCGTGGATTCTCACGTATAAGTATTGACGAATAGTGTGATTTTAAAACATTTTCAATTTTCAAATTCAATGAAATAAATTTATACACAATGAAAATGCGCATCTTTTTTCTTTAAGAAATAAATTTATATCTTTTTTAGTTTATGAAATAATGAGAAAAAACTAAATTTTTGAAAACCAAAAAATTTAAATGTTTTACGTCTTTAACTCGTGCTGGTGTTTTTGATTTTTCATATTTTGTAATCAAACAAAAACAAACTCACAGATTAAGGTTTCCTGAAACCAACTATATTTTTAAAACTTCAAAATCTTAATTAATAAAAAGTTTATTAATTTTTTCGAAAGACATTGCAAAAACTGTTTTTTTTCAACTTTCAACGCTTCGTTTATCTAGGAAATTTCAAGGTACGAAAAACTTTCAGTGAGAAAGTTTTTTATTACGATACGGACAAGTTTTCTCTAAAATTTTATTAAAATGATATGGATATTTACAAAGTTATTAATGTTTAAAGCATATGGTACGTCAGATTTCTCGCGCCTGGAACGCATTGAGTCCCAAATTGTTAGTTTGCAACGCGTTAAAAATATTTTGTCAATATATATAATAAAATTTATTGAAATGCATTTTTAACCTAAATATTTTATTTTGTTATATGTACAAAAGTCAACTAAAATAATATTTCTTATTTTTAAGTTTCTTGTTTCATTTAGTTCAAGGTTTCCACTCTTCGTCAAAATGATCTGGTTTACTACATTTAATGTTTTTAAAATAATTATTAAAAAACTCCTGTCCGTTTGGAGAAAGATATCGATTTCCTTAATTGTGATAAAAAAATCTCGAAATCCTGGGAAAATTGTATTGGGTTTTACCGAACCCTTTTTTTTGCAGTCAACGGTCGCGGCAACCGCGACTCATCTGGACACCATATTTTTCCGTAGAGTGAAAACAAATGACAACTTTGAGAAAAATAGCATACAAAAAAGGGTTACTTCCTTGAAGTGCACATGATAACAAAAAAATCTATTGTATGAAAATGTTTGCCAAAATACAGATATAAATAAAATAAAATTTGTTTTAACTTCAAGTATTAAATACAATATGGAATTATTGTACAATTTATTTTGCGAATAATTTTGCAATATTTTTTTAAAAATAATTTCATATATCTTTACGTACAATACATGTTAGAATAAATAAACTGATGCTACTGTTATATAAAGTTAGATGAATCGTCATAATCCATAGTTAAATATTATTTAAAAATAATTACTTTGATATTAAAAAACCAGTCAAAAATTAAAATAATAATATTTTTACTATTCTCAATAAACTTTTATTAGTTAAATTAACATTACATTTATGTCAAAATAACTGTGTACTAATTATTTGTATGTCAGTAAATTTTAACTATTTCCAGCCGATTTTGGCTAATTATTATTGGTTACTTTTTAATAATAATTAATCGTTTTTAACTAAATTGCTATTGCAAAAATTTATCAGTGACTTTACTAAAAATTGTATTTCTTTTAAGTAAACAAATGAATAAACTAAAATAGTCTTAATATGTTCCATGCAAACGAACAATTCGGTACTCAATGCGTTCCAGGCGCAAGAAATCTGACGCACCATACGCTTTAAACATTAATAACTTTGTAAATATCCATATCATTTTAATAAAATTTTAGAGAAAACTTGTCCGTATCGTAATAAAAAACTTTCTCACTGAAAGTTTTTCGTACCTTGAAATTTCCTAGATAAACGAAGCGTTGAAAGTTGAAAAAAAACAGTTTTTGCAATGTCTTTCGAAAAAATTAATAAACTTTTTATTAATTAAGATTTTGAAGTTTTAAAAATATAGTTGGTTTCAGGAAACCTTAATCTGTGAGTTTGTTTTTGTTTGATTACAAAATATGAAAAATCAAAAACACCAGCACGAGTTAAAGACGTAAAACATTTAAATTTTTTGGTTTTCAAAAATTTAGTTTTTTCTCATTATTTCATAAACTAAAAAAGATATAAATTTATTTCTTAAAGAAAAAAGATGCGCCTTTCCATTTTCCACAAACTTCGGTAATTCAAATTGCAATTTGTAATACTTTCAAAAATTGACCAAGTGGACAAAACTTAAACGCGAGAATCCACGCGTATCCCCTTTTAGAAGCCGTCCCCTCAATTGCTCCGAGTCGAAGACTCGGAGTGATCGATTTTAATTAAAGATTAATTAAAGATGACCAAGTAATAAAATCATTATTTTATATTATAAGAATATTGTTACTGTAACTTCATCTAAATTATTTTCATCGTTTTAATTAAATTATTTTTTTCTAGAATTTTAAATTATTTTTTATGAAAATAATAATTGAATTCCTTAAAAAATTTTATTATTTATGAAAATAATTGAATTTCTTGTGAAATTTTAATTATTTTATGAATATAATTAAATGTTTGCGTAGAATTTCAATAAAATTTTTTATAATTGAATTCTTTTGAAAAATTTTAGTAGATATTATAAAAATCATTGAATTAAGGAAAATTTTTGAAAATAATTGAAATTTTTGCCGAGAATTTTTTCAAAATTTTTTAAAATAATTGAATTGATTCGAAGAATTTTATTGTTTATGAAAATAATTGAATTTAGGAAGAATTTTATTAAAATTTTACATAATCTTAATTAAATTCTTTTAAAGAATTTCTTTGAGTTTCTTTAAAATAATTGACTTTCTTTAATCATTTTAATTACAAGTTTTCAAAGTAATTGAATTCTATATGAATAATTTCTTTCAAGTTTTTATAATAATTCTCTTACTTAATAATTTAAATTAAGCATTTAATTCTTGAATTTTATTAAAAAATTTTGGAAAATGATTGAATTTTTTTGAAAAATTTCTTTAATTTATTGAATACAATCGAATTTTTTAATAATTGTATTGAAAATAATTGAATACCTGAGAAGAATTTTATTATTTATGAAAAAAACTTTAATTCTTGCGATGAATTTTAATAATATATTTCTTTTTAAATAATTGAATTCTTTTGTGAATTTTTATTGAAATAGTAGATATTAAAAGTAATTTAATTTTGATATTATTGAAATTAATTTAAGTCTACGAAGAATTTAATTCAAATTATTTTGAAAAAAAATCAAATTGTTAAAAATTATTTCATTAAAATCTTTGAAAATTAATTTTAATAAAAATTTTAAGAATAATTACATTTTTCAAGAAATTCCATTAACATTGTACCAAAAATAATTGAAATTCAGCGATGATTTTTATTATTTATGAAAATAATTGAAAACCTACATACCTATAGAATTTTACTATTTATGAAAATAATTGAATTCCTGGTTAAAAAAATGTTATTCTGCATAAAAATCATCGAATTACTGCGAAGAAATTTATAAAAAATTTGTAAATAATAGAATTCCTCTGAAATTTTTATTATTTAATTCATTCATTCAAAATTGTTATTTTCTAAAATTTCAAATTAAAATTTTTTTTAAATAATTGAATTCGTTTTGGGAAATATTTTATTAAAATCGTAGATATTGAAAATCATTAAAATTATAAAAATTTCTGAAAATAATTGAACTTTAGAGAAGAATTTTGTTATTTATAAAGATAATTGGGATTTTTACGAGAATTTTATTCAAGATTTGAACATAGTTGAATTTAATAAGAAGAATTTTATTTTTTTTAAAGAATTTTTGCAATTATTTTTAAATTCTACAAAATTGAATTTTTTTAGTATTTTCAACAAAAATTTAAATTAGAAAATTTTCAAATTTTATTATTTTTAAAATTGCTAATTTTATTTAAAAAAGGTAGTAAGAAGTTAGCCGCGCGATTTGTTGCTAGTTCCGTTATTTAAATACAAAAGTAAATAATTATTTTTTGAATAATTGAATGTTTCTTAAAATTGAATTCTCATACAGAATTTTATAAACAAATTTTTAAATAATTGAATTCTTTTGTCGAATTTTATTAAAACGTGAATGAAAATAATTACTTTTTTCAAGAATTCAATTAAAATTGTATGAAAAATAAATTCTTAGCTACACGGAGAGAAAAATCTAGCTTTAATAGTATGACACTACCTATACTAATTTCGCATGACTATAGTCACGCTTCAAACGCATGAAAACATACCGAAAAACCATGGTGAAGCGTGGACCCATGGTTTTTGGGTATGAATTTATGCGTTTGAAGCGTGACTATAGTCATGCGAAATTAGTATAGTGTCATACTATTAAAGCTAGATTTTTCTCTCCGTGTATAAATTCATTATTTTAAATAATTTTTGGAAAAGTTCTTTGAGAATTTTCAAATTTATTTGTTTACAATTCAATTTTACAAAATTTCAATTATTCGGAAATTCTTTAATTAAATATATATTAGAAAATAAAAACTTGAAATAATTTTAAAAAAAATTCAATTATTAAACTTTTTTAAAAGAATTAATTCTACAGAATTGTTTGTTACAAATATGACAAATTCAGAATTTGAATGATTTTAATTTGAAACCTTTTCAAAATTCAATTATTTCTAGAAATCCACGTTATAATCCTTTTAATATTTAATTATAATCTAAAATTTTAACTGAAATTCATTTTTAAAACAATTTTTATTAGTAAATTCTACGAGAATTCAATACAAAAATAAATAATTTATTAATTTAATGTTTCTTAAAATTAAATATTTTTTATAATAATTGAAATTTTGCCAAGAATTTGATTAAAATTTTGGAAAATAATTGAATTTTAGAGAAAAATTTTATTATTTATAAAAATAATCAAACTTTTGACGAGAATTTTTGAAAATAATTGAATTTTTCTGCAATCATTTGTAATTTCTCTAAAATTCTTCAAATTATATTGTACAATTTACGAACTTTTCGTCCTTTTTTAACAAATTACGAATTTTACAAACCATTTTTAAAAAAAACTGACTTTTACGGACTTGAAGAAAATTTACGGATCTTTACGGGATTTACGGACCTAGTTCGAGTCCTGACATTACAATAATAATTAATAATTTTAAAACTTTACCAAATTCACCTCAAAAATCACTGAATCTGATAAATTAAAAGAGAGTCCGACAAATTGGATGCTATATTTTTAATTTCTAAAATTTAACGTAAAATTCGTCATTAAAAACGAACTTCAAGTGAATCCGATAAATTTGGTTAAATTACTATTATTGCTGCTAAACTTTCTTGTTGTACGAGGAAAATTTAATTTCGCAAAAATTATTACTTGATACTTTCATTTTCAAAATGATTTTAAAATTAAAAATAATCTTCATTACGAAAATTTTGATTATTCTAAAGAATAGAAAAAGTAAGAAAATGATAATACATTTAAATATAAATAAATATATCTTAAAATTTTAACATGAATTAAATTTCCGATTGTACTTAATTAAAAATTTCCACCCTTGTAAATTGTTATGAATTGGAGGTTGTGATTAATTATTTTTTATACGACGAAATAATTAAAAAATTCTCTTGGTCATTTAAAAACTATGCAACTTATTTCGATTTTTATAGTGTAAAAAATAACTAAAGACAAATCTTCCAAAAATTATTATTTTTGAATAATTTTTCTTATTAAGTTTTCGAAATATACAATTAAAAAGATTTTTAATAATTAAAATTTTGTAAAATTGAAAATGATTGATTTTTTTCAAGTATTTTATTAAAATTTTTGAAAATCAACTATTGAAGAAGTTTAATTCATTACAATGTTTGAAAATAATTGAATTCTCAACAATTTTAATGAAAAATCTTCAAGTGCAATTTTTTTTTAAGATTAAATTATTATTGAACAAAGTAAATTAAATTTTTTTAAAAATTTAGGGCCAGTTTCACCAACTACGATGAAAAGTTAATTTTACAAGAATTTAATTCGAGATTTAATTATTTTTAAATGATTTTATCAAATTTCAATTAAATTGAAAGATTTTACCAAATTTTCATTATTTGGAAACTTTCTAATTAAAAAATGAATTATCTATCAAAAATTATTTTAAAATATTAAAAAAAATTAATTTACAGAATTTTTTTAATATAATTTTTTGAAAATATTAGGTAATGCTTTAATATCTTAAAAAGAACATGGGTAGTTAGAGTTACAATTATTTTAAAAAATTGAATGTTTGTATTTAAATAATTGAATTCCCGAAAAACTTTAGGAAAATTATTAAAAATAATTGACTTGGAGATGAAGTTTAGTTAAAAGTTGTAGAAAATAATTGTATTTTGTGAAGGTTGTAATTTGTAGAAACTATATTAAATCTCACAAGGTTTTAAATGGAAATAATTTATTAAATTTTATTTCCCGTGGATAACAAATAAGTATTAAAATATTTATTTAACAAGATCATTTAAATTTTAAATTTCACAGAAATTTCATAGAAAATAGGGAAATAAGAGAAGTAAGGAAATTTTACCCAAAGTAGTAGAAAAATATAAAATTATTTAAAACCTTAAATTGTCTTTGAATAAAAAATAACAATTTTAAAACACCATAAAGAGTTGTAGTTAAAATTTAAAAAAAAACAATTATTTTATAATTTTATTTATTGCTGACTCGCAATTCTTTTATATAGGGCATATATTTATGTCGACAAAATAAAAATCTATCAGTAACTATACTGCCTTCTCCACCTCGATTTGATTATGAAAAGGTTTTAAGAAAGTAATATGCCCACACAGAATTGAAAGTTTCCAAAAGTTGAAATTTGGTTGCACTGCGATCTTCGAAGTTGTGAAGCTGATCATTCTGTTGTTAATAAAATGACCGCATGTGAAAAATTAAGCAACAAGGGAACAAAGGCTTTCACTTAAGAAATTTGGAAATCATTCACATGATGATCTCTAAGATTTTGTATCGAATTTCCATCGACTAATTATTATTATTGTCGACATCCCTTGTCTCTAATCTTCTTTGACTCAGACAGTCTAGAAAAATTTGCTATTTATATTTACCTTTTCGAGTCGCTCTTCGCCCCCCAACCCCCTTCAGTTATACGCAAACTTTAACAGTCAATTATTGCAAAATTTTAGAAATGAATATCGTATAATTATGTTAAAAATGACGCTTAGTAAAATGCACGTCTAATAAAAAAGAATAACAATTATTTGTTGTTATGCCTGTAACAGGACGAGAGCAGTTCCTCAGAATAGAGTGCCGGTTTCATTATAACTACATTCTGTATATTGCACTTGTACTAGCATCATCAACTACTTCAAAACAGAATCTACGTTGAGAAACAATGAATGCCTCAGAACATGGGTAAAGATTTTCTTCAAGATTTCTTAAAGTTACACTTTTTATTCTTTTTTCTTTTTATTTCTGGCGAATTTTGAGGTTTCTAAACAAATAATACCCTTGAAAAGTAGTGTGAAAATCTATGTTGGATAGTATAGTAAAATATAGATAAATTCAAATTAACGATTTTTTTATTTTAATACGCAGATAATATTTTTCTTTTTGGATTAAAATATTGTACTTGGAGAATTGGCTCTGAGTTTTAAAATTGTACATAAAATAATGTTTGGTAAAATTTAAATTAGGAGAAGAGACAGTAAAGCATATAAAATCTGATGCTTGTTGGTTGTCAGAAAACTTACCATGATTAATTTTAGTAGAAATGTGTCAAATTCAAAGAACTTCTGATAGAAATAACAAATTTGAATAAATTAAAGAGGAAGCGAAAGCTTAGCTCCTACGAAATAAAGAAAAAATCAAGAGAAAGTTAAGAGGACATTATTAATTGTAATCCATTAAAAAGTACCTCAAAGATGTCAGTATTTAAGGAAAAATTAATTTTTTTGTCTGAATTGTTAAGAAAATGGTGATAATAGCTGACCTAAAAGAAGCTCTTCGGATAAGTAAAATATTTGGTTGAAATAATAATATTTACTTTCGCAAAATACTGAATTGATAATTTAGGGGCGCATGATTATTCCCCAAATTTCAATTTCCTAATGTTCAAAACATCGAAATTCATATCATCGAAACTTCATTTCGCATAATTTTCAGTTTTCGAAATTTCATTCAATATAATTTTTAATTTATCGATTTATTCTTTATCCTATTATTTAAATAGTCGAATTGTTCTTCAATATAATTTTTAATATGTCGAAAATTTTTTTGACATACATTTTGTTTTTCCGAATGACTATTTGTCATAATTATTAATCCTCCGAATTGCCATTTGACATAATTTTCAAACCTCCGAAATATTATATTACATAACTATCACTTATCGAAATTTTATTTGTCATAATATTCATTTACTTGAATTATCAAGTGACATAAAGCGCATTTACTCGAATTATCAAGTGACATAAAATGCATTTACTCGAATTCTCATGAGACATAACCTTTAAATCTACGAAATGTCATATTTCAGAAATTTTAATTTATAGAAATTTTATTTGTCATAATTTTCATTTATTCGAATAACCATTTAACATAAAATTTATTTGTCAGAAATTCCATTTGACATAATTTTCAAACATCCGAATTACTTTTTAACCTATAATGCAAGTCACAGAAATTTCATTTGTCCTAAAAATAACAATAGAAATATGAAAAATATTTGAAAATTTCATTGTTATTTTAGGACAAATGAAATTTCTGTGACTTGCATTATAGGTTAAAAAGTAATTCGGATGTTTGAAAATTATGTCAAATGGAATTTCTGACAAATAAATTTTATGTTAAATGGTTATTCGAATAAATGAAAATTATGACAAATAAAATTTCTATAAATTAAAATTTCTGAAATATGACATTTCGTAGATTTAAAGGTTATGTCTCATGAGAATTCGAGTAAATGGGTTTTATATCACTTGATAATTCGAGTAATGAACATTATGACAAATAAAATTTCGACAAATGAAATTTAGGTAACATAATATTTCGAAGGTTTGAAAATTATGTCAAATGGCAATTCGAAGGATTAATAATTATGACAAATAATCATTCGGAAAAACAAAATGTATGTCAAAAAAATTTTCGACATATTAAAAATTATATTGAAAAACAATTCGACTATTTAAATAATAGGATAAAGAATAAATCGATAAATTAAAAATTATGTTGAATGAAATTTCGAAAACTAAAAATTATGCGAAATGAAGTTTCGATGATATGAATTTCGATGTTTTGAACATTAGAAAATTGAAATTTGGGGAATAATCATGCGCCCCGATAATTTAAGAACTCTGACAGGGTGGCCACCGGACCTTGCAAACTTGAAAACCTTGAAATGGACGTGAATTTTGTCAAACCTTGAAAAAACCGTGAATTGGACGTGAATTTTTTTAAAAACCTTGAATTTTAGTATTATATATTATTAAAACTGAAAAACAAAATTTTTTGACCATTTTCAAAATTTTATTTTTTGAAAAAATTAAAATTTTTCAGGGTTGCCACTGGTCAGGAAAATCAGGGAAAAGTCAGGGAAAAGTCAGAGATTTTTATTTAAGTAACTGGAAAAAATTGAATTTTGGAGAAGTTACAAATGATTGCAGAAATTCAATTATTTTCAAAAGTAATAAAATTCTTCGCAGAAATTCAATTATGTTCGAAAATTAAAAAAATTTCTCATTAAAATTCAATTATCTTTAAAAATAATAAAATTCTTCTCCAAATTTCAATTATTTTCAAAAATTTTAATAAAATTCTTTGCAAAATTTCAATTATTTTCAAAAAATTTTTCTCAATTCAATGATTTTCAATATCTACAGTTTTAATAAAATTTTTCAAAAGAATTCAATTATTAAAAAAAAAAATTTTTGATAAAATTCTAAGCAAACTTCGCAATAATTCAATTATTTTCATAAATAATAACATTTTTTTACAAAAATTCAATTATTTTCATAAATAATAAAATTCATCATAGAATTTCAATTATTTTTAATACAATTTCAATTGTATTCCTCGAAAAATGTTATTATTCTTGAAAATTTTATTAAAATTTCTCGACAAAAATCAAATTTGTGGATAAAATTCTTTATGTTAATTTAGTTTCGAAAAACATTCATTTATTCAATAAATTATTTAGTTTTGTATTTAAATAATTGAATTCTTGTAGAATTTTCCAATAAAAATTGATTTGAAAATGAATATTAGTTATAATTTTAGATAATAATTGAATATTAAATGCATTATAGCATGAATTTTTAAAAATACATAATTGAATTCTTTCGAAGAATTTTAACAAAATTTTTGAAAATAGTGACATTTTTCGAAGAATTTACTTAAAATTGTATTAAAAATAATTGAAATAATGTAAAGAATCTTATTATTTATTAAAATAATTGAATTCCTGCTTCGAATTTTATTACATTTTTCTTAAATAATTGAATTCTTTTCAGAACTTTTATTAGAAAGTTGATTGTGAAAAAATTTGAATTTCAATGAGGAATTTAATTATATTCGTGAAATGTAATTAAATTCTTACAAAAAAATTAAGAGAATAATTCCATTTTTCTAGGAATTTACTTTAAATTGTATTATAAATAATTGAAATTCTCAGAAAAATTTAATAATTTATGAAAATAATGAAATTCTTACAAAGAATTTTATCAATTTTTTTTTTAATAATTGAATTCATTTGGAAAATTTTATTACTTGTAAAAATAATTGAATTTATGCAAGGAATTTTATTACATTTTATTTAAATAATTATATTCTTTTGAAAACTTGTATTAAAAATGTAAATTTTGAAAATTTTTGAATTCCATTATTTGTGAAATGTACCTAGGGTAAGTGTGCCAATTATGGCGCGGTTCTGGTTTAGCCGTCTTTGAAATAGAAAATTCAAAAATTATAATGAAAGAAGTAAATTTATGGCTTATTAAACTAAAAGCCCGTGTCATATAGATAATAAAACTTTTATAAAAACTTTATAAAAATTAATTATTTAAACAAAATTAAAGCAATAAGAATTAGGATTAAAAACGTCAATTATGGCGCGGTTGAGTCAATTTCGGCGCGCCAATTACGGCGGGGAAAATAACGTGTATTTAGAGGTTGTGTTGCGCGCCATAACTGGAGCACGCACATTCAATGAAAATGTGCCAATTATGGCGGGGCACAATTTTTGTACTTAAATAATTAAACCAATAATAGTTCAAATGTGTTTTTTTCGTACAATTATATCGAGTAAGGTCGAAAATAACTTTTTCTATCATTTTCAAATAACTATATTATTCTAAAATAGTAAATAATTCTATTCTTTACAAAGTCGCCATAATTGGAGCACCCGCCACAATTGACACACTTACCCTAATTTAATTCTTGCAAAAAATTTTTGAAGATAATTTTATTCTTCGAGAAATGTATTTGAAATTGTATTAAAAATAATTGAAAAAATGTGAAGAATTTTATTATTTATGAAAATAATTGAATTCTTGCAACGAATTTTATTATAATTTTTGTAAATAATTTTTTTTTTTTTTGAAAAATTTTATGGAAATTAAAATTTTTATAAGTTGTTGAATTTAAAAATGTTTGAATTTGAATGTTTTGAAGAATTTTAATTCCTATGGAAAAATAATAATTAAATACTTATTTAAAAATTTAGTTATTGATGTTTGCGAATAATTTTACAATTTAAGAAATTCGTAAGTTAATGGAATAGAATGTTTTTAATAATTTTTAGAGTGAATCAGAATATTCTTTATGGTCAGGGAAAAAGTGAAAATTTTGTCTGGAAATCAGGAAAAAGTCAGGGAAAAATAAAATTAAATATTTGTGGCAACCCTGAATTTTTTGAAGTCTATACGATTGATTGTTCAGAATCGTAAGAAAAGCCTATAAAAAATTTCGGCAATAAAAAATAATAATAAATGTGGAAGTAGTTGAATTTTTTAAGTATTACTATAGTAAAATTTGAACCAACAAAAAAACCTTTAAAATTTCCTAGAAACCTTGATAAAACCGGGAAATAGACGTGAATTTCATTCACGAGTTTTGGTTGCCACCCTGTCTGTTCAATGCTAATAATTACTTGGTACAAGAAAATAAGTTATTCCTTCTAATAAATGAGAGTTTCGATCGGAGAACCGGTTATAATTTTTAAGACTCGAAGTTATCCCCTTCTAAATTAAAAAAGAAGTCAAAATTTCAATTTCTTGTAAAGATTTCGTATTTGTATAAAAGTTTATCAAAAAGTCCCTTCAAAAATTTTGATTTAAAACTTTAATTTTTAATTTATTTGACAATGATTTTTTTAGCTTAAATTATAAACCGGTTCTTCGATTGGGACACCCTCAAATATGGTATTGATTCAAGTAAATTACGCATTCACTTGAATCAATTAAATTTTTTGTTTCATTTTATGCATTGCTTAAGATCAATTTGTTTATTGAACACTCAACCTAAAAACTGCCAACTTTACGATACTTTTTAATAGGTTACAAATGCCTACTTTTTACCAAAATTCACCATAGTGAAGCTGTAGATAAATAACTTTGCACAGTTGAATTGCTTAACTTCCAACTAAGGACCACAAGTTTAAATAAGTTTTTATGAATATTTTGCTTTCTCATTATAAGCAAATAAATTTACTCCCTTATGTAGGAAGCCTTACAATTTTTTTCTATATTTAATATGCATACTCCATAAAATTTTGTTTCTTTAAATAGTCCATCAAATTCTAAAACTTAAAAAAAAAACTTTTAATTATATTAAACGAATTTTTCTCTATATGGTCATGTGTTATATGAAAACAATAAAGAAATAAAAATTTAATTTAAAAATATTTTAAATTTACATTAATTTACATTAATTAATTAATTAATTTACATTAATGCTATGAATTTTAAATAAAATTTTTATTTTAATAATATAAACCATTCTGTTTATTTTGAAGCAAAAAATACAATTTTATTATGTACCAACTTGAAGTTAGCTAAGACTAAAGATTTTAGCTAAAACATTAATTTTTGGTTCTCAATTTATACAAGGCTCACTTGTAGTGCAAGTGAGACATAGAAACATTAAATCGTAAATTACGGATGAAAGGAAAGTTTTAATTAAATTTTTAAACGGAAATGCAGATTTTTTTCAAGAAAAATAAAGAATTAATTAACAGTTTGTAGGTTAACATCAAATGATACTCTTTCTAAACTTATATACGAACTTCTGCTTCCTAAAAATTACAATGATAGATAGAAAAAATAACACTATTCCTTATAATATAAGAATATCATCATAAGATAAGAACTATCATCATCGTACCCCGATTATTCCTAAATTCTTAAGTTTTATTATAAATTTCGAAATGCAATAAAGTAATTATTGTAATTAAAAGTTTCTCCGTTTACATTTTAAATGCATTTGCCGAAAACCATTTTGCATTTTGATTTGAAATGGTTTTTTTCATTATTTTGTATTCGAAAATGCAAAATACAAGAAAACTTTTTTTACACTGTAGCAATTTTTTTATGGAGGTTCTCCGGTAAATTTATTTTCTTTGGAATTTTACCAAACTTTGGGAAAATATTTATTTTTGCATGCTAAAAACGGAAATTTTCAGGTTCAAAGTTTCAACATTTACATAGGATTCCATATCAAGCATTTCGAAAATGAGACATTTTATTTAATTGCTGACAAAGTTTTCTTACAATTTTTTCAAAAAACTAGTTTATTGTATAGAGTTAAATTAATAGAATAATATAAAACAGTTTCAAAGGGGGTTATCATGCTCACTTTTTTAATAGAGCACATAAATTTACTCTACCACTTCGCACTTTATGAATTCACAGTCAAAATTCAATTTGTCCGAAAAAATCTAGGACGACTGGACCATTTCACACCGGACATTTCATCAGAAACTCATAGCATTTCTAAATAGAGAAAAATTTTGTTTAAAGCTTTTTTAAAACATTTTTTAAATTGAAGGATTACAAAGCTTCTTCCTATGAGGAAGCAAAAATGTAAAAAGGAGAAAAATTAGATTATTCTTTTTAACCAAAAAAATCATGTTTAAAAAGTGTATTACACAAGTTTGCTTTGTTTAATTTTAATGAGATCAAAAATTATCAATGAGAACTTGAACTTTAATCGATTTTTCTGCTCTTCGTTTTGTATTTGCAAATAAAATCAATTTCAAGAAAATTCTAAATATTAAATAGTTTTTTTTCGTTCAATTAATTTTCTAGAAATTAATTGAGAAAGAAATTTGTTCAAGCGAAGATCTGTAAATACTTCTGATTGATGATTATAGTTTTATTGAAGTAACAATTTGTTCATAAAATTAAAAACTGCCCTAGACTCTTTAATAAGTAAATCACTTACTTTAAGGTAAAATTTGTAATTCTAAAAATAACAAAAGGATAATAATGTTAACATATCACGCAGTTTTTACATATAAAGTATATGAGGGCTTGATTTTTTTTAATAATCTTTAATGTTTACAAGCATGAAACAACAAGTGTGCATAATGATTTTAGGTTTAACCCAGCCTTTAACATGGCCTCCATAAAGCAAGCTTTCAATGAAGCTGTAGAAAGAGGTAGGTGAACATTTTACCTGTAAAAACTTATTGAGTACTGCGTGTTTATTTTGCTTTCATCCTTTCTCTCCAAATGCTCATTCAACATTTTCTCCAAAGTAAAAATTATTTCTTACATTGCAATTTCAAAAATAATTGAGGGCTAATTCCACCAATCTCAATTAAAAGTTAATCAATGACTAAAGCCAGTTTAACGGCTTATGATTGGTTGATTGAGGATTTAATTATTAATTTTTAATCAGTATTGGTGAAACTGGCCCTAAAGCTAATTTAATTTAAGGGTTCATACACGCACGACAGAAAATTATCGTTTAAACTGGAATTATTAATTTCAATGTAAAAAAATAAAATGGCATCAGTTTAAACAAAGTCGAGAACAAAGTTTATCATGAAATAACAATAAGATTTTTTGGACAGTTTTTCGATTTGAAAAAAATAACAGTAAGTGACACACATGTGACGAAGATGTAAAATTTTCATAAGAATGAATCCTTAAGACAGAACATCAAGTTTAATCTTTTTATTAATATTTTGTTAATTTTATATACCTAGTTGATCTTTTGTAGCTTCTTATTGAAATCACTGGCAAACAATAAGGCATAGTTCGAATCCTTTCAAAGCTTTTGTAATTGAAACTCACCTTCATTCACTAAACTTTCTGTTCTGATTGCATTTTGGTAATTTACAAGTTTCAACAGTGAGAATGCCAGCTCCGACTCGTTTACGAGACCTCATCAGACAAATCAGAGCTGCTCGCACAGCTGCAGAAGAGCGAACAGTTGTCAATAAGGAGTGCGCGTACATACGCTCGACATTTAGGGAGGAAGACAGTGTTTGGAGGTGCCGCAATATTGCCAAACTGCTGTATATACACATGTTGGGGTAGGTACTTCTTTTTAAAAAAATACGTCTCAAATCGTTATTTATTATTTAATGCTGGCGTTAAATTGTCGGCGGAAAGCAAAAACCATGAAAATAGTAGAGACAGTGATAAGTGTTCATCTTTTTCACTCACATTTCTGGTTTCAGTCGGGACGGTGCCTTTAAAGTCATAAAATACGTTAACTATTGAGTCAAAATTTCTGAACAAAAATTTTAATTTTTCAATTAGTTATAAACAATTAAACTTTAACCCTTTGCGAAGCATACATTTTTCTAGTCAATGAATTTAATAACCAAGTACACTTTAGGGGGTACTCATATTTCCAAAATTCAAAATGGTGGATCCAATATGGCGGACTTATTTTTTTAAAATTAATCAAATTCGCTTGAAATGTGATACTCGGGGGGTCCCTGATTACGAATATGAACTTATGAAGTCAGATTTTCAAAATTCAAAATGTCGAATCCAATATGGCGAACTTATTTTTTTTTAATTGGTCAAATTCGCTTGAAATTTGTTACTCGGGGGTTTTTAGGTCTCTGACTACGAATATGAAGTCAGATTTTCAAAATTCGAAATTTATATATTATATATATTATATTTATATATATAGTATATAATAATATAATATAATATAATATATAAATTTCGAATTTTGAAAATCTGACTTCATATTCGTAATCAGCGACCTCAAAACCCCCGAGTAACAAATTCCAAGTGAATTTTACCAATTTAAAAACAATAAGTCCGCCATATTGGATCCGCCATTTTGAATTTTGAAAACCTGACTTATATTCGTAATCAGCGTCCCCGAAAACCCCTGAGTAACAAGTTTCATGTAAACTTGAGCAATTTTTAAAAATAAATCCGCCATATTGGATCCGCCATTTTGAATTTTTAAAAATTGACCCCAGATTCGTAATCAGCGACTCCAAAAATTGTCTAGACATGCTCCTCAAAGTATTTCAATAATTTTTGCAAATAATTAAATTTCAGAGAAGAAGTTTATTACTCTCAAAGATAATTGAAATTTTGAACAGATTTTTTTAAAAATGTTTAAAAGTAATTGAATTTTGCAGAAGAATTTTGATATTTATTAAGATAATTGAAATTTTGAGAAGAATTTAAAAAAAAAATTGGAAAATAATTTAATTTCTGCCAAGAATTTTCTTACTTTTTGAAGATAATTGAATTTTGCAAAGAATTTTAACAGAACTTTTCAAAATAATTAAATTATTTCTAGGATGAATTTTATTATTTAAAAAGATAATTAAAATTTCGTTAAATTTTCTAATAATAATTAATTTAGAAATAAATATCAGTTAAAATTTTAGATAATATTTGAATATTAAAAGCATCAGAGCGTTAATTTTTAGAAATAATTGAATTTTAAAAAGGTTTCATATTAAAATCTTTGAAAATCTGAATTTTTCATATGTATTTTTAACTAACAATTCTGTAAAATTAATTTTTTTCAAATATCTAAATGAATTTTTTTTAAAAATTATTTCAAGTTTTTACTTTCTGATAGTTAATTAAGTGAAGAATTTCCAAATAATTGAAATTTCATAAAATTGAATTGTGAAAAAAATGGATTTGAAAATTGTCAAAGAACTTTTTCAAAAATTATTAAAAAATAATTGTTTTAAAGAAGAATTTTAGTTAAAAATTCTAGAAAATAATAATTGAATTGAAATAATGAAAATAATTTTGAAGATGCAGGGCTCGGATTGTGCGACTTTTTCGACTTCTTTCGACTTTTCTAAGGAAATGTGACTTTTTTCGACTTTTTTGTGAAAAAATGCGACTAATCGACTTTTTCGAGATTTTTTTTAGTAAAATGCGACAGAAATTTAATTTAATTTCTGCCAAGGATTTTCTTACTTTTTGAAGATACTTGAATTTTGCAAAGAATTTTAACAGAACTTTTGAAAATAATTAAATTTCCAGGATGAATTTTAGTATTTATGAAAATAATTCAAATTTTGACGAGAAATTTAAAAAAAAATTTTAAATAATCGAATTTCTAGGATAAATTTTATTATTTATAAAGATAATTGAAATTTTAACAAGAATTTTTTTTAAATTTTTGCAAATAATTGAATTTCAGAAAAGAATTTTATTACTCTCAAAGATAATTGAAATTTTGAACAGATTTTTTTAAAAATGTTTAAAAGTAATTGAATTTTGCAGAAGAATTTTGATATTTATAAAAATAATTGAAATTTTGAGGAGAATTTAAAAAAAAATTAGAAAATAATTTAATTTCTGCCAAGAATTTTATTACTTTTGAAAATAATTGAATTTTTACGATGAATTTTATTAAAATTTTTTTTAAATAATTGAATTTCGTCGAAGAATTTTATTATTTATAAAAATAATTGCCATTTTAAAGAGAATTTTAAAAAAATAATAATAATTAAAATTTTGCTATGAATTTTATTAAATTTTTTAAAATTTTATTCCGGATTGTTTGATATTAATGTATCTGTTGTCGAGAAATGTGATTTTTTTACAATTTTGACAATTTTGTGTTTTCTTTTTGCCGTTTTTTTATTTTTTTTAAGATTTCATACGACTTTTTTTCGACTTTTTCGGAAATTTTATGCGACTTTTCGTGACTTTTGTTGAAAATTTATGCTACTAAAGCGACTTTTTTGAGTTTTAAAGACGATCCGAGCCCTGCATAATGCAAATTTAAAAAGTTTCTTTTAGGTGGCCCAGTTCACAAATTTTGACTTAATTTACAATTTTTAATGATCTAATAAAAAATATTCTAGTTCGATTGTTGTGACGTACTCGTTTTATATGGAAATACTCTTTTCAACATTCTAATTCCAATGTAATTCTTGTAGATATCCTGCCCATTTTGGTCAGTTGGAATGCTTAAAATTAATAGCATCTCCAAGGTTCACTGACAAACGCATCGGCTATTTAGGAGCAATGTTACTTCTCGATGAACGACAAGACGTTCATCTTCTTATAACAAATTGTTTAAAAAAGTAAGAAAGATTTAATTTTCGATAATCACATACGCAATACAATGTTCTCCATTACTTTCTTCTTCACAAACAAATAATACATTAATGAATATATGGAGAAACACTGAGACAAATGTTCAGTTCGAGCAACCTAACAAAACATTATAGCTAGCAGCACTAAATCTGTTTTCTCAGTAAAACCTAGTGTGTAGTTTGTTTGAGAAATTAAAAGTAACTCTTTAAACAGTTAAAATATATTTAAATATATTTGCTCTTACAGCGATTTAAATAGTTTAACACAATTTGTAATCGGATTGGCCTTGTGTACACTGGGCGCTATCGCATCTCCAGAAATGGCAAGAGATCTTGCCTCCGAAGTTGAAAGACTAATGAAATCTCCAAACGCGTACATCAGAAAGAAAGCAGCTCTCTGCGCTTTCAGAATTATTAGAAGAGTGCCAGAACTGATGGAAATGTTCCTTCCAGCAACTCGCAGTCTCCTGACGGAAAAAAACCATGGAGTTCTGATAACAGGTGTTACATTGATTACTGAAATGTGTGAAAACAGTGTAGACACTTTAACACATTTCAAACAGGTGAGTCAATATATGTAATAATACAGCTACAAACTATTTCAATTTCTTTTGAAATCAAAATTCAAGAACACTTGAAAAATTAGATTCACATTTCAGATTTTGCGCTAAATGTATAAGGAAATGTCTAGATAGATGTCTCCTAATTCGAAAATTACGTTTGAATTCAATAATTATCGGTATTTTTTAATTTTTTTGTTATTATTATATTATGAGCAATATCGCTACTTTGCAAATTTTAAATTTTTTCCAGCGAATAAAATGGGACATAGTGATTTCGAAAGGATTTTTCCTACTGAGCCCGAAATGCGAGGTCAATATTACAGGGTTGCCACAAAAAATTAATTTTGTTTTTCCCTGACTTTTCCCTGATTTCCAGACTTTTCCTGACTGATTTGAGTTCATCGAAACACTACACTTTCTTTTAATAAAAGTTGCGTATTTCTGTTACCTTTCGAACGGTGTATTTTATTTACAATTTCGTTTACCCATTTACAATTTACGGGTCAAAAATAAAACCCATCTCACAACTCGAGACTCTCCCCTACTCAAAAAAACATTCTATTACATTTACTTACGAATTTCTTAAATTGTAAAATTATTCGCAAACATCAATAACTAAATTTTTAAATAAGTATTTAATTATTATTTTTCCATAGGAATTAAAATTCTTCAAAACATTCAAATTCAAACATTTTTAAAATTTAACTTATAAGAATATTATTATAAAACATGAAGATATGGAGTATCTTTATGTTTTATAAAAAATTTAGATTTCCATAAAATTTTTCAAAAAAAAAATTAAATTATTTACAAAAATTATAATAAAATACTTCACAGGGCATCAATTATATTTAACACAATTTTAAATAAATTTCTGGAAAAATGAAATTATCTTCTAAAATTTTTTGCAAGAATTAAATTATATTCACAAATAATGAAATCTTCGTTAAAATTCAAAAATTTTCAAAATTAACTATTTTAGTAAAAATTATCAAAAGAATTTAGTTATTTAAATAAAATGTAATAAAATTCGTTGTAGGAATTCAATTATTTAAAAAAAATTAAATAAAATTCGTTATAAGAATTCCATTATTTTCATAAAAAATTATAAAATTTTTCTGATGATTTCAATTATTTTTAATACAATTTAAAATAAAATCCTAGAAAAATGGAATTATTTTCTTAAATTTTTTGCAAGAATTTAATTACTTTCCACGAATATAATGAAATTCTTCGTCGAAATGCAAATATTTTCAAAATCTACTATTTTAATAACAGTTCTCAAAAGAATTTAGTTATTTAAATAAAATGTAATAAAATTCGTTGAAGAAATTCAATTATTTTTACAAGTAATAAAATTTTTCACATGAATTCAATTATTTAAAAAAAATTTAATAAAATTCGTTATAAAAACTCTATGATTTTCATAAATTATAAAATTTTTTTGAGGATTTAATTTTTTTCAATACAAGAATTCAATTAATTTCATAAATTAATAAAATTCATTTAATACAATTTTTATTAAATATCTCGAAAAATTGACATTCTTCAATTAAATATCTATATATTAGAAATTAAAAACTTCAAATAATAAAAAAAAAATTTCATTAATCTTTTTGAAAAAAATTAATTCTACAGAATTCTTGATTAAAAGTATGAAAAATTCAGATTTTTCTACGAGAATTCAATTATTTACCTACAAAAATAAATATTTTATTAAATAATTGCATGTTTTTTAAAATTGAATTTTCATAAAGAATTTTATCAACAAATTTTTAAATAATTGAATTCCCTGGATAAAATTTCAATTTTAATAAAATTTTTAAGAATAATTTCATTTTTCGAGAAATTTAATGAAAATTTTATAAAAATAATTGAAATTCTGCTAAGATTTTTATTAAAACTCTTTAAACTAATTGAATTTCAGAGAAGAATTTTATTATTTATAAAGAGAATTCAAATTTTGAAGAGAATTTTTTTTAAATTTTAAACATAATCCAAAATTTGAACTGTAATTAATTTTTAAATTAATTTTTATTAGAAAATTCTACGAGAATTCAATTTTACGAATACAATGAATTTCTTCGTTGAAATTCAAATATTTTTAAAAGCTAATATTTTAATAAAAATTGTCAACAGAATTCAATTATTTTTTAAAAAAATGTAATAAAATTCGTTGCAGGAATTCAATTATTTTCATGAATAATAAGATTCTTTACAATATTTTAATTATTTAAAAACAAATTTGAAAACATTCATTGCAAGAATTGAATTATTTTCATAAATAATAAAATTCTTCACAGGATTTCAATTATTTTTAATACAATTTTAAGTAAATTCTTTGAAAAATGTCACTATTTTAAAAAATTTTGTTAAAATTCTTCATGAAAATAATTGAATTTTTGTAAAAAATGTTATTATTTATGAAAATAACTGAATTATTGCGAAGAAATTTATAAAAAATTTGTAAATAGTTGAATTCCTGTGAAATTTTTGTTATTTATGAAAATAATTTGATGTTTGCTTAAAATTTTATCAACATTTTTTTTTTAAATAATTGGATTCTTTTGAAAATTTTTATTAAAACTGTAGATATTGAAAATCATTGAATTAAAAAAATTTTTTTGAAAATAATTGAAATTTTGCAAAGAATTTTATTAAAAATTTTGAAAATAATTGAAATTTGGAGAAGAATTTTATTATTTTTAAAGATAATTGAATTTTTATGAGAATTTTTTTTAATTTTCGAACATAATTGAATTTCTGGGAAGAATTCTATTACTTTTGATAATAATTGAATTTCTGCAATTATTTGTAACTTCTCCAAAATTCAATTTTTTCCAGTTACTTAAATAAAAGTCCCTGACTTTTCCCTGAATTCCCTGATTTTCCTGACCTGTGGCAACGCTGTATATTAGGCCTCATTTATTCAAGATCTTAAAAATTTAAAACACATTTAAGAGACACAAAATCAACAATCATCAAGTTTGACTGTTTTTTTTTTTTTGTTTTTAGAGAACGTATTTAATATTATTTAGGAAAAAATGATTCCAACATTTAACTGTCATGGCAGTTAAAGTTATTGACATTTTAAAATTGGGAGATTTTGATAAAAATGACTTATTCATTTAAGTTTGAAAATAAGACTAAGAAATAATGAATAAGATTAAGAAGTTCTTGATATATTGAGCATTCAGAATTTAAAAAAGAAATTTCCATTTTTACATGCATTATTGCTAATTGGGGATTTAAAATTGCAATGCGACACATAGTGACCATAACGTGAACTAAAAAAAATGGCTACTGTGGGTGTACAAGGTTGCAAAAAATGTTAATATTTAAAGTATTCTAATGCTTAAGAAATATTTGTTAAGATTGTTGGTCATTATTTATCTTTTTATTGAAAAACTACTTAAAATTAAAACAGAAAAGTCACAATATAAGTTTATTTTTTTTTAAATTTGTACACCCATTTCGTCCATTTTTGGTGTAAAACACTAGCGGCACCGAGCCCGCGGTGGTAATTTTCATTGCCAATATAGCTAGCAATAATGCAATTTTTAATGGTCATAATAAGAAAATTTCCATGAAGAAGCAAGGAACGCTTTGCAGCGGTCTTGTTATTATTAAAAAGAAGGCACTGCGGAAAATAAATAGGAAATATTTTTTAACTAATTTCATATGTTGGTTTGAATAAAACAATGCAATTTTATTCTTATTTAGGAATGCGGCCACAGAGAGGTAAACTAAAAGAAAATTTTGCAGTATTTCTGCATGAAACTCGTGTCATTTGATCGTTTGCTTTTTAGAATGAAAATACTATGTTCTTTAAACATTCTTATTCTTCTTTTACATTATAATATATATGAAACAGTGAATGACAAAGCTTATAAATCTAAGAACTTATATTTCTGTTAATTATTGTTGTTATTGTTTTAGTAGATTCATGAAACAGTACACTTACGAGCGGTGTAAAATAATGTGTTTTCAAGAAAATGTAAATAACCAATTTTTTATGAGGCGCACGATTATTCCCCAAATGTCATTTGACATTTCAATTTTTAAATAATAAAATTCTTCACATGGTTTCAATTATTTTTAATATAATTTTAAATAAATTTCTCGAAAAATAAAATTATCTTCAAAAATTTTTTGCAAGAATTAAGGGGTTACACCACTTTGACCCGTTCAAAACATAAGCTTTTTCAACAATTTTTATTGAAAAATAGAAATTTTTTTAGGAAAATTAAATTACAGTAAGGTATTGTACTACTCTTGAACTACAAAAAAATATATATTTAAATTTCTTTTTTTTTTAAATTGTCGGTTCGACAGATGATATGTTAAAGTGCTTTAAAAATATATCGCCATACGGTGGACACTATAACTCAATCCAGAATTAAGCTAGACCAAAAAGTAAAAATGCTTTAGTTTCTGTAGCTCAAAATCTAGCGAAATACGTATCCGTTTTAAAAAAAAATTTATTTTTTGCAAATTGGCATCGATTTGAAGGAAAAAGTCCGTATTTTTGCCTAAATTTCATTATTTAAAGTTGTCTAGAAAATTTAAATATTAATATTTCGAAAAATCCGTACGTATTTCGCTAGATAATTATATCACAAACAAAATAAAAAAAGAACTAAGAGGATCGATTGAAATTTGTGGCAGCTAGAGTGTCCACCGATTTTTAAAATACAGTTTTGAGAAAAACGCGTTTAAAGTTTTCATTACAATGTAAACGTTAGCGCGCGACCCTGTTTGAACAGTTCGAAAATTGTCTTTTTACTTGAGATATCGATATATAACTAATGACATATCATTTTGATAACCATAAGGAGTATTTTAAGCAAAAAAAAATTTTTTCAATTTTTTGAAAATTTTAAAGTGGTGTAACCCCTTAAATTAGGTAGAGTAGAGGGGGGTAATGTAGTGCAGGGGGTAATGTAGTGCACTGGCTTTACTGACTAAACAAATGAATTGAATTACTTGCCGTTGGTATA